CCCGACAAGGTTCCAGTGTATATATTGCTTCGGGTGTCCGAATTCGGGCTAACAACCAAATGTAATCGAGCAATTACACTGTGCCCCTTGTTACACTGTCGCCCATATGACCCTACCTATGTTTAATATGTATTTCTATATAAATATACTTATATATGTACAGTATATGTATTCTATCCGTTACCCTAGTATCCCATAACAAGCCTTACAGTGCTTACTTTGGGGCTAGGCTAATTGGTGTTAGTGTTGGAAATATTTATTATTTATATTGATAAAACAATTGTACGAACGAAAGAGGACAAAAGGTATCGAGGATGTATGTGCAAAAATCAAACAACAAATAGATATATGATTAGAATTACTTGATATAATTACCGAAAACTGCCGTTCACACATTTTTCATTACAATCGTCAGATGCAAAATAATTTCATTGGAAAACAAACAGAAAATTTGGTGTAACTGAGGACTTAGAAAAAAAAGGTGATACATTTTGTATAAATTAATTGGTAAGTCAGTGACATGTGCAGGATTCACAATCAACTCATAAAAGAAATCCTAAATATCAAGTCAGTTTATCCGAGCGAGATCATATCTTTGTATAATGAGGATCCGTAACGATTTCAGTAGAGAATGCAGATTTATAGAGCTAAGGGTTTCATAAAATACAGTGGTTAAATTTGAGTTCTACAACAAATATTGACGAAGTTATGACCAATTACTAAACGAATTTTCGGCTGGCCATGTGGTGGCTGTGAAGTCACATAGCTCTAGCGCTCGGGCGCGAGCGTGCGTAGACGCTACTGAAGTGCGGGCGGAGTGAACCAAGATCGAGCTCTGTGACGTCACACGTTTCGGCCGAAAGTGAATATTGGCTACCATATAATTAGTTATAAAATCGAAACGAATGAACCGATTTCGATGATTTAATAAGTATATTAATTAAAAAGCTTATTAAATCATTATACTGTTGATTTTGAGTTGATTTGCTGACATAATAATGATCCTTATTCTGCGTCACTTTAATATATTTAACTCTAAAGGACCATTCAACAATTTTACTTAGTCCAGAGTCTTTGATCAATGGTATATTACCTTTGTTCTTTAAAAAAAAAATAACAACCGAATTGAGAACCTTTTCCCTTTTGAAGTCGGTTAATCATAGTCAACGTAGATTTATAATGAAAACAGGTATGTTATGAAATGATATAACCCCGCCCGGAAGGACACAAAATATATCTATATGAATTCGTTACAATATCAACCCCATACATAATTAATTTAAACATTGAAATGATATTTTTTATGACAAAGAAAACCAGTATGTTATACCTACTACATAATGAATGATTCAAAATTTCACATGCGAATTATTATTATTGAAAAAAAAAAACATTTTTCCAATTTAATTCGATTAAACGAAATGATTGTTCTACACAATTGTCACTTATAGAGCTATGTTACAAACAATGCAGTAACATTTCAAATAACATTCAAGCCTAAGGGAACATTTCGGTTTTCAGTAGTAAATTAATGCTTCTTTTTAAAATGCAGCACAGATAATTCTCCAACTGATTTTCAACCATACTGGTTGAGTTCAAAGTTTAAAATCGATTGAATAATTGTCTGACATTTTGAGAAAACCATTGATGGCCAGCCGCAATTTTTTTCTACTATATTCTCTGTGACAAACTAGAAAATACTTCCGTTAACTATTTACCATGCAATAAGTTATGTCAAATTTAAAATCTTACTGCATAGTTTCATTAAATCCTATTTGCCTGCTAACTTTTTAACTGATTTTATCTACCAATATTTTAGCATTTCAGAAGATTTTTTATGCTAGACAAGTCTAAAGCTATTCAAATCCGCATTGAACCATGAGAATCAGTTAAAAAGTATATTCTAGCCCAGCAATCGTCAATCATTCAATCATGATTTAATCAATTCACCTAAATACACAACCATAATGCTCTTTGATTCTTGATTAAAAATCGTCAAACCGTAGCTTACATATATTGTTCTTATTTACATAAAAACTTCCGATTTAGCAAGTCCTGATTCCTTAGAATATTTTTCTCTAGCTTTCACTGGTCACATCAAATAGAAATGATAGAAAAACACGTCATATATACATATATATCTCTGGTAGAAAATGAATTACCTAAAGCATCGCAGTAAAATAGTAAATACGTAACTTGGCAACACCAATAGTAGTACAGATTACAATACAAGATGGCGGCTATTGGTTGTGGGTACACAGCACTTCTTTTGTTTATCAGCGAAACCCTTACACCTAATTTAAAATCTACCATACTCGCTAAATATTGCTTCTATTTGATGAACAATAATGAATAACCATGGAGAAATGCAGTCTTTGTCAACGGACTCTAGTCAAAATTACACATTACTGTTTTTAAACAGGGTGCCCTCTGAATAAGCATATATTGAAGTCATGGTAAATGAGAGTTGAGTTTGACGTGAAAAAAATACAATATTGACACAATGGTTTTCAATAGCACATTTTTCGCTTACTATATGCCTTACAATTGGGAAATTGTAATATTTAACTTTATCTTGCATGACACGCAAGAAAGTCCTACTTCCAACTACCTCTCAAAACCTGGGCACACAAAAAGTTTGTTAGTCTTGAAAATATTAAAGGAGAAATTTGTTTTGTACAAAGAAACTTCTTTTTAATTATAAAGTGATAAGTATAATGTTAAAATGCCTCTATTTGTACTTGAAAATTACAATACTACTAAAAATCTTCATACACTGTACATTTAAAAACGTGTTTGATAAAACACCTAATAGGATTATAGAATGTGTGTATATTTAATTTTAAATAATATTTAATTACAATTCATTATCATCTAGAATTAAAGTATACATCCATTTCATAAGCCATTTGTTTCAAGTGTTTTATAAATTTTGCAGTTTTAAGATCTCCTTCATCGACAATATTACGTACACATACTACACTGCATTCATCTCAAGGTAGGTAGCTAAAACCTACCTGTAATAGTTAATTAGAAACAAATTACAGTATCACGGGTAGAGGATGGCGCTATACACGTAAAAGAGATGGAGACACAGGTTCTCTCTTACGTGTATAGAGCTAATTCTGCATGCTGATCCAACAAGATGGATAGTGCATATAGGACTATACTCTGGTAACGTTAGCGTTTTTAGGTTATGGTTATTTAACTTCAGGCAGGTCATGTTTACCAGCCGCCATCGTGTTTTAGTGTAAGACTTAAAAATCAATATGGTAGGTATGAGCAGTGTTTTAAAGGACTTCTTGTATGCCCAGTTTATTAAAAAATGTAAATTCTAAAAGGTACATAATGGCAAGTGATATTGGCTTCATAGTATCCAAGGAATACAACTTTAAATGTTCAGGGTTGCCCATTGGAACTGAATGAAATTTCCAAGTTACTTCAACTAACGACAAGTCAAGATTTACCTGTCCTACTGTAAATTTTATAACTATGAAATTTATCATACATTTAAATTAACAATCTCTAATTGTCATAGTGCAAATTTCTTATTATCTGATTCACACTGATATGATAGTAAATGTCATCACTGCACATTTTGGTAACACTTCAATTTGGCAACCCCATTATATGGAAAAGTTAGTTTCTTTAAAAAAAACATACTTATTTCAAAAGTCAAAAAAGTCTTATGTACAACCGATAGCATATTCAGTAACCACAAGATGTCAAAATTATCTTAATCTATTTTGTGCTTTATTTCAAAAGCACTAAAGTTCACAAAGTAATTTGAGATAACTTGTATAGCCTGTTGTACTGTCTTTTGACATTAGATATCATAGAGATATATATACTTTACCACTATTGGCCACTTATTTTTGCATCATCATAAAAATTGTCTAGATGTCTCTGTCTTTGAACATTTGTCTAATTACAGAAGATAATACAAAAAACTACAACGGATTGTGCAGAGGCAGTAGAAATATAACAACAAATTATTTTACAGTGTTGCCATACAATTTCTTAAATGTGAGTGCTCAAAATACTGGAACATTTAAAATTAGCAATGATTATCCAATTGTCTGCCAAATCCTGAGGTAGAAGTGTTATGCGAAAACTATTATTGTGCAAAATATACAGCACCAGAATTTCATTCTATGTATATCTATAGAATAAGAGCAGTTCAAACTGGGGTTTTCCATCAACATAATTTGTAAATCAGGCTTAAATTTGAATAAAAACCTTAATTGACATGAAATTATGTTATTCTTCTACTAGTGTCTGCAGTAGGGAACCAGAGTATTTTATATCAGCATGGACACAACAATTATTTTGGACACACATACAGGGCTTGCAGTTAGACTATTGTCTAAATGTATCTACATCAACAATATCCCTTATTTAAAGGAACATAACACAGGAGCAATACTGTTCTGATTGTATGAAACTTAAGGTGTGTTTATCCTATATTTACAGAATACATAACATAACATATGCATAATATGGCTAAGTCATGTTATATAAAAATATTCAAAAACTATAAATCCAGATATAATTCACAGTCCCTTGTATTGACCAGCAGACAGATCGGAAAATAATCAGGAAATCACATTCACACATGATGATTACTTAGGACCATTGGCTTTAGTTTATTTTAGTCTCTGTCCCTTTACACTTGAGCCTGATCTAAACATGATAAATGAGTATTGACAATGATAGCATCATCATTAATGCTTACCCTAAAATGTACTTCAACAGCTAAATTACTTAACCATCTAGCCAGAACTGTCATTATAACATAGTGTTATCATATAAAAAAAAACTGCAAATTGTCATATAAAAATCATAATTCTACCTTTAACAAATTGCAGCTTTTTCATTAACACATCTGTTGGCTCTATTTGGCCATTGTTATGTTGCTGAGTAGTTACCACATCAAAATATTTACAAATGAATTTAAAGCAAACTATCATGGCTAATTTGTAAGCAGTAATTTAGCCACTTCATTTTCGTGATGTTATCATGAAGAGCCATTAGTGAACATCCATTATTACGGCTCAATCAAATCATGACTCTTCAGTTCTGAACAATTCTCACAATTTAAATTACACTAATAAGCGTCATTAAATTGTTAAAAACGAAACATACACCGTAAGGCTTAAAGTTCGTATTGCATTTCTCTTCACTTTCTGTTACTTATTATACAAGGCCAGCCGCATAGTCTTAAAGTCCTAACGAATACAGCGCAGTCCTCTCCACTGTGATGTATATTCAAAATAAATTATACAGTCTGCTTAAACACTATTTAAAGTCTGAACGGAAGAGTGTTCACAACCGATCATTCCGGCGGTTCCTCAAAGCACGAAGTCGCGCCCTGCGGGTCTTTGCGGATTATATGTCCCCATTTTGACTGATTCCAATCCTCTTGATGAACTCTTCCTGAAGCATCACCGTCTTAATCATATTTGGATGGGCCCCATAAGCAATTGTTTGGTCAGGTGTTGAACAATATTGCTGGGTACCATCTGTAAGAATGACTCCTTGCCCATTACTCAATGTCGCTGTTGATTCCATTGAGTTCCAATAAGATTCACTTGGAGATGTGTTGTTTACTCCTGGAGGTGGAGCTGCTGGTGCTCCTGTATATCTAAAGTAAGGATTCTTCAAATCCAATGTGTTGGATGACGAAATATTTGTACCTTCCAAATTAATCTCCATAGTGACATCATAGCTCTGTCTCTTATTAGCTAACAAAAGTACACGTCCAGTAAGAACTTGACCTTGCTTTGCAAAGATCGGTGTTTCTAAAAGACAGCGAACTTGGTACCAATGTGTTAGAGGTTCTGTTGGAGCAGTTGACAGCCATATGTGTTGTGTGCTCCCCGCAAACAATACATCAAACCAGAAAGCCAATCCATGGCATGTTCCAGACTGAGTCAGCTCAAATCTGAACGGTACCTCAATGCGATGCAAGTCTGTTTCATGAGCATTAAGGAAATCTACAACATGTCTAACAGATCGAGACATGCAGATGCGAACATCAAATGTATCAACAATTGGTTGTCTGAAATACTCCTTCATAGCTGCTGTGCGTAATGCACTGAGATCAACCCCATGAAAGCATGTTTGATACCAAAAGTTTGCTTTGTTATATTGCTCCATGAACAATGCATCATCAGTGAAAGGTGCTATGTGGAGATCACCACGAGTGGGGTACATATTTCCATTAGGTTTAAGCCACTTTTTTGCATGGAGATATGTTTCTAGCATCCGTTCATTATACAGCATGTAGCCCATTGGTTCTGATACGATAACGTCTACACTCTCAGGGAGTTCGATTTCTTCTATTTTGCCAGCAACCACTGAAATTCGGTCATGGAGGCCGTTCGCGCGCACCAGAGCTTGCGCGTGGTGTGCCATGTTGCTCGCTTCAACGGCGTATACTTTACGCGCGCCCGCTTGCACAGCAAAAAATGATAGAATACCTGAACCAGCACCCACGTCTAGCACAACTTTGTTCTTGAAATCGTTAATATTGGACAGTATGGCGCGCTGATACGTACTCGTCCGTACATAATCTTGCATCATATTCTGCTGCTGACTAAGGTATCCATAGAACTGGAAGTATTGCATAGCCGACGAGTCCTCTGTACGCACGGTGAATACTGAAGACGAACGACCTGCTTTAATCTTGGTGACGAGCAGGTGAAAATTCTGACAGTCGACCTCTGATGCGAACTTGAAAAATAGAGTTTCATTGTCGATAGTGAAGATATAAGATTGGCCGGCGACTCTTGAACACTCACTTTGGCAGTGGACGGGGAATTCGAGCACTTCTTGGGCTAGCACGGGGTCTGCACGAATCACTTTTACACTGAGCCCTTGCGGGTCATAATCCACGTTTACGGTTGTGGGGAAATTAAAACGCGGCGTCAAGGCGCCGTCATTGTTGACGGCGGACACCGTCACCGCGCGAAACGTGTTCGCCATTTCAACAGCAGGACGCGGACTCACGGATTTTGATAAGTTAATGTCCAAACGCAAACGGGCAAACAAAGAAAAATGCTGTTCGTTGAGAAGTTTAGGAGGCCGGTGTAAAATCGATCACTCACAAACTTCCTCCCTTCGTTGTCTATGGCCGGCCGACAGCAGCGTGCTATTTAACTTTTTTATAAAAAAAACAATCAATGCAAAACAAAGGCAAAGGATAAATGATTCTGGCCCCAGTACTAATAAAATGTTAACAAAATAACCAGCCGTGCAAGAGTATGGATTTGTGATACGTTATTGGGACAATCAATTTGAGTTTATTTCAGGGAATAAATATGATAACTGAGGACAGAACCTCGTCTAAATTGAGTGCAAGAATGCCAAGGTTAAATTATCGAAAAAAGGTTTCCCACATAAGTATGTGGACAAACTAATTTAATATACTAAATTCATGATAAAATATGTTTAATTCTATTATCAACTCGGTAAAGGTATCGACATTTACTATTTGAACGAAATAGAACATTTTATAAAATTACGAAAACGCCTAGTATTGGGCAGCCTAATATTAATTACAGAACAGTATGATAAATACCATGAATTAACATTTAACTAGAAAAAAATCCACGCGGACCAGGCAGCAGACGGGAATCGATCCCGCACCCTCCGTTATCCGGACGGATGCACTGGCTAATTATGCTACCACGGCCCTAATGGTCGTGTCAAATTTTCTCTAGTATTTCTTTGGCTGCAAGGCAACGCCATTTCTACTCTTTTTCTAGTATAATTTTCTTTAAATTTAAACATCTAGCAGTTAAATTGTTAAAATATACATAAGGTGAAATTTAATGTTTTAATGAAACTTTGTGGGATTATTGGGTTACGTGTATAGAGTAGTTTTCGAAAATTTTTTGACATGTTTTGATTTATAATTTGTGAATATTTATGTCCTTTCCTCCTTTTGAGTAGATATTCATTTTTAACACGCATACTTACATATTCAGTGAAAAAAAACTAATTAATAAGCACTACTAAAAAAAGGAAAAACAGTAAAATTAAGCGAGCGCGGCCACCGTTGCGTCAGTGGTGTCAATTCTGACGTGATTCTCTAAACTTAAAACTAAATTTAAGGTCAGTCTCACCTTTTCATTCTGTATAGAGAAGGACAAGGATGCACTGTTGTCAAATTTAAGTTTAGCTTTAAAGAATCATGCCAGAATCGATATCAGTGTCATTCTATGGCTGCATGGCTCTGCCTTTGCCTTTCCCAAGATGGTGAAAAAGCTAAAAAAACATTGCCATGCTTTATTTTAAAGAATTGGCTGTTTAAACGTAGTATTTCTAACTAGTCTGTGGCTGTATGGATAAAATTGGATAAAATCCAAGGCCGATAAACTAAAAAAAATGTTATTTTGAGGTTATCTTTCGAAGGCAATCTGTGATTTATTTTATTTTTGATTAAATTAAATAATTAGTTATTTAAATATGAGTCAAAAGCTAAAGAATTTGAAATGGGAATCTGTAGCTTTAGAAGGATTTCCAGTGTCACTTACTGACAAATTTCAAGGGTTTGTCGGTCTGGAAGAATGTATCAATTACGGTTTGGATAAAGAGACGAAAAAGAGTAAAAAGGTAAATTTAATTGTATAAACCAGTACTATTTTTTTGCACTTTATCGAGCATATTTTTGAATTTTTTAATATAAAAACTTAAAGGTGCATATTAGCCTTCCAATGAAATGTACAACTAATTTACATATCAGAAGTTGTTTTTTTAATAGAAGAATAGATATCTACTATCTCAAACTTAATGACAATTAAATTCCAGCAAAAATCAAAGAAAAAAAGGAAAAACGAAAACATAGTGGATGAAATACCACACAAAAAAGCAAAATCTCGCAAAGATACTCTCAAGCTTAGCAATGGATTTCTGGTAGAGTCATGTGACACAATCACTCCCTCACTTACCAATGAAATGCTCTTACCACTTAACAATAATACAACTGTTAAAAATAATATAAACAAAACTTATAATGTGGATTCAAGTAAACCCAAAGTAAAACAAAATAAAATTAACACAAAAAAGAAACCTAAGTTAGGTGAAAATGTGAGTGAAACTGTGTCAGATTTAACTCCAGAAGACATGCTGACTTGGGCAGAGTTTAAACTGCAAGAGCCAATAATGAGAGCATTGATGGAACTTGGATTTAAGAAACCTACCAAAATTCAAGAATTGTCATTGCCTGCAGCTATTCATGGTAGTATATTATTTCAGTAATTATTGTTGTATGATACAGTGAATACAACTGAGTTCATAAATAAATTTACATTTTGTGGAAGTTACTTAAAGAATAGAATAAGATTTATTATCATTTATTTATATACTATTTAAACACTGAATAGGGTTGCAATGGGATAAAGTAAATGAAATTCTATTTAGTTTGTCAGGTATTTTTCTATCTATCAATTAACCATAAAAGGACAAAGATAAAGCGCATCAAAGATTGGGAGTGGGGGCTTGTGACGTCATTTAACACTAACTAAAAATTGTACCAATACCTGACATCATTTCAAATAAATACATCTCTGTAATGTTTTGATTAAGTCAATAAAGTAAAAATATGTGTCCAATACTTTTTGATAATGAAGAAAAATGAGTTAGTTGTCATCCCTATTATGAGTTACCTGAGAAACTTAAAAATTGTGTAAATAAAAAAAATGAGAACAGTTATAAACAGTAATCATACTACATCCCTATACAAAAGTATTCATTAATATCCTTTACAAAATATTCTAAAATGTCATTTGTCCATAACATACCTATTATGGAATTACTATCTGTTTAAAGTATGAAGATCTTAAAAATTGTTTTATTTAATTCAATATATGACAATTTCATCTGTTTAGGTAGGCAAAAATATAGTGTCAATGTGCAGACACTTAAATTTTCATTTTTGTGGAAATATAATCTGAATTAGCTTGTCAAGTAACTCAAAATTCACAGTGTAAATAAAATTAAATTCCTACTAATCAAAATTCTGTTATCAGGTCGCAGGGACATTTTGGGTGCTGCGGAAACGGGTAGTGGCAAAACACTAGCTTTTGGTCTTCCAATCCTCTCTGGAATCATGAAACTAAAAGAAAAGGCTGAAATGGGTCTTGATGTGTACGAGTTGCCTTACAAGAAGACTTCTGTTAAAAAGAAACAAAAAGCAATTATAGTTCCAGTTAAAAAAGTTAAATACAAGAATAATAACAAGAAAAAAGCTGAGATTGAACAAAATGGTAAAGAGTCCTCAGAGGATGGTTATGGGACTGATGAGGAAGCGGATAAAAGTGAATGTAATCTAAAAGTTAAAGAATATAGTACAAAAACCCAATTATCTAAAGAAAATCAAAACAAAATAGATAAAAAGGCAAAGAAAATATGTAAAAAATTGATTGATGATAATGATGATTATATAGAGGAATTTGATGTACCTATAAAAAAGAAAAAGCCATCTGTTGATTCATCAATAGCTGAAGGTAATGATAATGATGATAGTGACAACTATGTACATCTATCTGAGATGATTGATTCTGACGATTTAGCTGAAACAAGTGATGCAAGTGAAACTGACAGTAATTCAGAGTCAGAAGATGATGGAGACAAAGAATCTGATAATGTAGATGAGAGTGAAGTTGAAAATGATAATGTATTAAGTGAAGATGATGAAAGTAATAAAAGCAATGATGATGAAGAATTAAATGAAGATGAACAAGGCAAGTTGCATTCACACATTAATGTATGACTTCAACTGCCTATTAAAGTTTATTAAAGTCAAAGAATTTTTATAGTTAATAATTAATTTGTTATAGGGATTGGCTGTGTTAAAGTGATAGATGACATAGAAATGCCAGGGCATGTTGTAGTCAAAACGGGAAAGCCTCTCTATGCATTGATATTGACTCCAACACGAGAGCTGGCAATGCAAATTAGCAGGCATTTAATAGCTGTTGCCAAATATACAGGTATCTTATTATATAATTATACACTCAACACACATACACAGAAATACATTCATTTTTTTGCACTGTATGTAGCTTAATTTTTTGGTTTTGATTATACGATGAACAGAGGCTCACGCACGAAGTTTCGTTATCGTATCAAATTGTCAAAGTTTCTATGATAACTAAGCAGCGCCCCTATCGGATGTAAGAACAAACTGGCTTTTTCCATACAAAATTTGACGATTACTATATAGACCAGTGTTGATAATTTTTGAGACCAAAAAAAATTATAGTACGACGGAACCCATTGGAAAAGGTAGAGAATATAACAAAAATGAAAGGAAAAATGAATTACGGGTGATCTGAGGTCGGGAACGGGGAGGGGGTGAGTTTTTAAGGGTAAAAAATGGTTAATCTCGATTTCCTGTAAAACTGCAAGTCCTATGAAAAAAAGTTAAATGGCAAAGTTGTAGGTAATAAAAAGATCTAGAACTTTTGTATCGACACTTTCCTCAAAACCTCAAAATTTATTATTTTTATTTTTTGCGAAAAAAAAATTTTTTTCACGAAATTTTGTGAAAACTCACCTTTGTATGTCCCAAACATTTTTTTTTATTTAAATATTCATTTTTTCACCATATTTTGACTTAATATCGAAAAAGCACCCTAATTTTCAATCAAAGAGTCTCACGTCAAAATATGTGCTTTTTTAAAAAAGTTGGTGTGTTTTCAAAAACTCACCCCCTCCCCCTTCCCTCAGATAGCCCGTAATTTATTTTTCCTTTCATTTTTGTTATATTCTCTACCTTTTCCAATGGTTTTCATCCTACTATATTTTTTTTTCACTTTTTCCATTTTTAAAATTATCGACCCTGGGGCCCAATTCTCGCGGCATAGATATTATATCACCTTCGATATATATCGAATGATCTGGCTTTTTTCGAAGGAAAACCTTTTTGCCCTATTCTCACCATGTCGCAATAGATATTTATCTACGGATGATCAGTAGACATACATCGACTGGTAAAGAGCCTTCGATATATAAATATCTATGGATCTTGGCATGTCAATCTTGTTATTTCCACTTTTTTTACCTATTATTTATTGTGTTGTCGTGTGTCTTTGCCAGTTATTGTTACCTCAAGAAGTTGTTAACTGCCTTCATAAATAATTAGTAAATAAAGAAGTAGGTAAACAATGGTGTCGATTCTGGCGTGATTCTCTAAACTTAAAACTAAATTTATTATCAGTCTCTCTTTTTCATTCTGTATAGAGAATGACAAGGAAACACTGTTGTCAAGTTTAAGTTTAGATTTAGAGAATCGTGCCAGAATCGACACCAGTTTATATTAACGATGGATGAGTTGATTCATGTTTTCGTCAATGATTTAATAAATTACGTGATTGCTGCTGCTGTGCTAAGGCGCCGCCGTTGTGCGAGCAAGAGGGCCCATTTGAAATGAGGGACGTGGACTTCATAAAAAAATTACGTTTAAACAAAAATTTCGTTAGAAATCTTTAAAGTTATGAATGACATTGGTATCGATTCTGACACGATTCTCTAAACTTAAAACTAAATTTAACATCAGTCTCTCCTTTTCATTCTGTATGGAGAATGACAAGGATACACTGTTGTCAAATTTACGTTTAGGTTTAGAGAATCATGCCAGAATCGACACCATTTTCTTATTGACGATACGGAGTTTTGGTGGGATTTCTGCGAGTGCGGAATCTTATTTTAATTATTCTAAAATTCGTTCATAGTGGATATTGTGAAATAAAATTGGTGTGATTTGGTGTTACAACCGTCTGCGCAACTAAAGAATTAGTGGAATCTTTAAAATATACGCTATTCCGGTCAAGTGGACGCGAGAACTTTATTGTAGTGTTGACTACCTCACAGAAGCTTAGAGAAAAAGCTGACTCCATAAATTTCGTGCCAAACACTCCAAGAAACATTAGAATGCGTCACACCGACATTCGAATGTAATAAAAAGAAGATTAATATAACTTAAGACTAGGCTTTATGGGCATTGTTCCCTTTGCCTTCCCTGAAAAGGGAGAATTTTAAATAATATTGACGTTTCATTATACATAATGTTGAAATTATATACGCATACAATTTAGGTAAAGTTGAGATTTCTTATACTCAAAAAATGTATACACATATTTAATATGAATGGAATTCATAAAATATCATTTTGTTGCTTGTAAAATTCTGCTCTAATTTATTATTATTTTATATAGACTATGATGTTAACTTAATCGAGAAAAACGGAACGCATTCGGCAGTGAAAGAATATCTACGATAGATATAATATCATTGGAATATCGAAAATCCACGAGAATAGCATTTTTTACCATTAGTAGATATTTTCAATAGATATCCCTACTTTCGATATTATCTCGAAGCCGATATAATATCTACGCCGCGAGAATTGGGCCCCTGGGGCCCAATTCTCGCGGCGTAGATATTATATCGGCTTCGAGATAATATCGAAAGTAGGGATATCTATTGAAAATATCTACTGATGGTAAAAAATGCTATTCTCGTGGATTTTCGATATTCCAATGATATTTATATCTATCGTAGATATTCTTTCACTGCCGAATGCGTTCCGTTTTTTTCGATTAAGTTAACATCATAGTCTATTTAAAATAATAATAAATTAGAGCAGAATTTTACAAGCAACAAAATGATATTTTATATCTTATGAATTCCATTCATATTAAATATGAGTATACATTTTTTGAGTATAAGAAATCTCAACTTTACCTAAATTGTATGCGTATATAATTTCAACGTTATGTATAATGAAACGTCAATATTATTTAAGATTCTCCCTTTTCAAGGAAGGCAAAGGAAACAATGCCCATACAACCTAGTCTTTAGTTATATTAATCTTCTTTTTTTTACATTAGAATGTCGGTGTAACGCATTCTAATGTTTCTTGGAGTGTTTGGCACGAAATTTATGAAGTTGGCTTTTTCGATAAGCTTCTGTGAGGTAGTCGATACTACAATAAAGTTCTCACGTCCACTTGACCGGAATAGCGTATATTTTAAAGATTCCACTAATTCTTCAGTTGCGCAGACGGTTGTAACATGAATGAATTTTAGAATAATTAAAATAAGACGCCAACCGCACTCGCAGAAATCTCGCCAAAAACTCCGTATCGTCAATAAGAAAATGGTGTCGATTCTGGCTTCTCTAAACCTAAACGTAAATTTGACAACAGTGTATCCTTGTCATTCTCCATACAGAATGAAAAGGAGAGACTGATGTTAAATTTAGCTTTAAGTTTAGAGAATCGTGTCAGAATCGATACCAATGTCATTCATAACTTTATAGATTTCTAACCAAATTTTTGTTTAAACGTATTTTTTTTTATGAAGTCGGCGTCCCTCATTTCGAATGGGCCCTCTTGCACTCACAACGGCGGCGCCTTAGCACAGCAGCAGCAACCACGTCATTTATTAAATCATTGACGAAAACATGAATCAACTCATCCATCGTTAATATAAACTGGTGTCGATTCTGACACAATTCTCTAAATCTAAACTTAAACTTGACAACAGTGTTTCCTTGTCATTCTCTATACAGAATGAAAAAGAGAGACTGATGTGAAATTTAGTTTTAAGTTTAGAGAATCACGCCAGAATCGACACCATTGTTTACCTACTTCTTTATTTACTAATTATTTATGAAGGCAGGTAACAACGTCTTGAGGTAACAATAATTGGCAATGACACACGACAACACAATAAATAATAGGTAAAAAAAGTGGAAATAACAAGATTGACATGCCAAGATCCATAGATATTTATATATCGAAGGCTCTTCACCAGTCGATGTATGTCTACTGATCATCCGTAAATAAATATCTATTGCGACATGGTGAGAATAGGGCAAAAAGGTTTTCCTTCGATAAAAGCCAGGGGCCCAATTCTCGCGGCGTAGATTTATATCGGCTTCGAGATAATATCGAAAGTAGGGATATCTATTGAAAATATCTACTGATGGTAAAAAATGCTATTCTCGTGGATTTTCGATATTCCAATGATATTATATCTATCGTAGATATTCTTTCACTGCCGAATGCGTTCCGTTTTTCTCGATTAAGTTAACATCATAGTCTATATAAAATAATAATAAATTAGAGCAGAATTTTACAAGCAACAAAATGATATTTTATGAATTCCATTCATATTATTTAATGAGTATACATTTTTTGAGTATAAGAAATCTCAACTTTACCTAAATTGTATGCGTTTATAATTTCAACGTTACGTATAATGAAACGTCAATATTATTTAAGATTCTCCCTTTTCAGGGAAGGCAAAGGGAACAATGCCCATAAAGCCTAGTCTTTAGTTATATTAATCTTCTTTTTTTTACATTCGAATGTCGGTGTGACGCATTCTAATGTTTCTTGGAGTGTTTGGCACGAAATTTATGGAGTTGGCTTTTTCTCTAAGCTTCTGTGAGGTATTCAACACTACAATAAAGTTCTCGAGTCCACTTGACTGGAATAGCGTATATTTTAAAGATTCCACTAATTCTTCAGTTGCGCAGACGGTTGTAACACCAAATCACACCAATTTTATTTCACAATATCCACTATGAACGAATTTTAGAATAATTAAAATAAGATGCCAACCGCACTCGCAGAAATCCCGCCAAAACTCCGTATCGTCAATAAGAAAATGGTGTCGATTCTGGCATGATTCTCTAAACCTAAACGTAAATTTGACAACAGTGTATCCTTGTCATTCTCCATACAGAATGAAAAGGAGAGACTGATGTTAAATTTAGTTCTAAGTTTAGAGAATTGTGTCAGAATCGATACCAATGTCATTCATAACTTTAAAGATTTCTAACCAAATTTTTGTTTAAACGTAATTTTTTTATGAAGTCGGCGTCCCTCATTTCAAATGGGCTCTCTTGCTCTCACAACGGCGGCGCCTTAGCACAGCAGCAGCAATCACGTCATTTATTAAATCATTGACGAAAACATGAATCAACTCCATCGTTAATATAAACTGGTGTCGATTCTGGCACGATTCTCTAAATCTAAACTTAAACTTGACAACAGTGTTTCCTTGTCATTCTCTATACAGAATGAAAAAGAGAGACTGATATTAAATTTAGTTTTAAGTTTAGAGAATCACGCCAGAATCGACACCATTATTTACCTACTTCTTTATTTACTAATTATTTATGAAGGCAGTTAACAACGTCTTGAGGTAACAATAATTGGCAAAGACACACGACAACACAATAAATGATAGGTAAAAAAAGTGGAAATAATAAGATTGACATGCCAAGATCCATAGATATTTATATATCGAAGGCTCTTTACCAGTCGATGTATGTCTACTGATCATCCGTAGATAAATATCTATTGCGACATGGTGAGAATAGGGCAAAAAGGTATTCCTTCGATAAAAGCCAGATTATTCGATATATATCGAAGGTGATATAATATCTATGCCGCGAGAATTGGGCCCCAGATCATTCGAGATATATCGAAGGTGATATAATATCTATGCCGCGAGAATTGGGCCCGTCTAATACGATTACAGAGCTGTCAAAATTCGTGCGTGGGCCTCTGATGTCTTTGTACCTTTAACCGTAACACAGTACAGCGGTTCCAAAATGGCGAATTGGTTGAAATATCTAATAAAATAATAATGTCTCATTTCATCTCCTCAATTTAGAAAACAATAATGTTCCATCTAATTTTCCATTTAACTCATTCCATTTATTATAAGAGTCATTTGATGTTTCATATATAACTTACTTGTGATTTTAAGATTTGCTAAATAAACATAACAACCATTTAAAAACCATTAATTTTTGCTATTCTAGACCAAGGGAGTCCAATAAAATTATATTAAAATATTAAAACATATCATGAATACATACATACCTAGATGTAGGAAACTTGCAACCTGCCGTAATTGGTGTTCTCACAATATACTTAACTTTAAAGCTGCGTACAGGCAGCCCGTACATTGGTACGCGTAGTCGGTTACGCCATATTTGCCAACCTTCTAAAAGTATGGCTATTTTTTTAATTTTTTTTATAGATAGGTCTAACAAATTACTCCACCCCACCTGATGTTAAGTGACGGTGAAGTCCAGATGCGAAGATAGCTGATACATTTCTATTTGCCACACTAGCCATCCTCACCCTGCCGGCCTGCATGTTGCTTCTTCACGCCTTTTTTAAAGGATCCCAGGTCGCCCTTTAAGGGGGTGAAAAAAGGGGGTTGGAAATTTGTATAGGAAACCAAAATTTCGCTGGAACCGAAAAACGGAAACCAAAGTCGCAGGCATTCACTAGTAAGTTTTATTTCCCAGGTATTAAGGTAGCCACCATAGTGGGCGGTATGGCGGTTGTTAAACAAGAGCGGGTGCTTCGTTCCGGGCCCGAGGTGGTGGTGGCCACTCCTGGGAGACTGTGGGAGCTGATACTGCAGGGGCAGCCGCATCTGCAGCAATTGGACAGCGTTAAGTGAGTTGATTGCATGCGAATGCGTTACGCGTTACGAATTATGTGTTCGAGCGAGGCGAACGGGAGTCGTGTGGGGGATATAAGCAAGAGAAAGCAGTGCGCGCCCGCATTTTCTTTCTCTCTTTCTCTTATAGCTAGTAAATGAAATATGGATATGTACATACTTGTATATATTCTACGCACATATACATATACATACAGATGGAGCTAAAGAGGCCTCACTTCAGTCGTGTGGTCATAAGCACACTCGTTTTTTTAATAATCCGATGTTTTGCCCTTAGGTTCTTGGCCATAGACGAAACGGACCGTATGATCGAGCGCGGCCATTTTGAAGAGCTACACCCCCTATTAGAGCGGTTGAATGCGGACGAAGACAGGAAGGGGGCGCGGCAGAACTTTGTGTTCTCGGCAACATTAACTATGGTGCACGACCTGCCCTCGCATATGAAGGGGAAAAAGGTTTGTAATGACTAGAAAAATCTCTCAGTTTTATTACTTACTAGCATAGCGGCCGCCCGCGATTTCGTACGCGTCGAGTTAGTTAGAAATAAATTTTCACTTTAATTTTTTTATGTTGACCCGACTTCTTAATATTATTCGTGCCAAATTTGAAGTAAATCCATGCAGTGCTTAGAGTTTATCCCGGACATACATACAGGCTGGTATCGATTCTGGCGTGATTTTCTAAACTTAAAACTAAATTTAACATCAGTCTCTCCTTTTCATTCCGTATAGAGAATGACAGGGATGCGCTGTTGTCAAATTTAAGTTTAGCTTTAGAGAATCATGCCAGAATCGATATCACTAACAGTCAAAAATTCTAAAAACTATATTTTTGGATTCGGTTTCGATTGTAGATCAGACTTTCCTACCATTTTATTATATGTATAGTTTGTTTCGGGCAGCTCAACATACTATACCTTAACCTTGCCTTTCTGTTTTTCCCTATTCTTTTTCCCAAATCCTAGGTCCTTATACTTGCACAGAGCCCTGCCACAACATAAGCAGAGTTATAAATAATAAGCAAGCCCTCATCGAAAACAAATGTAGAAAATAAACTTTGGACACAAACACCAGATATTGGCAATATCCTGAGGGAGCCATCAGTGAAGAAATCTTAATTCTAATGACTTATATTCCTTAGCCAGCTGACAGATAAATTCTAACGCAAACTTTAATAGTAAATACCTTAGATCAAGAATATGATGTTTGAACGAACAATCCCATATACAATAGATTAACGAAAATATTTTCTAACAGAGTATTACCCAACCTATAGTATTACCCAACCGATAGTATTAGTGGGGTGTTGGCGGGTTGTGTTTAAAATGAGATCGCCTTTTGATTCGATATCGTCTACGTGGTTTATTGCTTATCGTTTACCTTTGGGTAACCAAATTTTATTTATTTTCCTATATTTGTTCTATTAACGAACAGGTAACGAAACGAGGCAAGATCATAAACAGAAGGATCGAAAAGATGACGCCGCAGCAGAAGGTGAAGCGGCTTATCGACATGATCGGCATGACGGAGCCGAAAGTCGTTGACATCACTGCACAGAACTTGGGTAAAAATCTATCATTTTTAAACTAAAACATGTATTACATAGCCAAAAAAAAATCAGCATGTCAGAGTACGTTTAATCTGGTTATTAAAGAAATCAGACCCTAGCAACAAGCATCGGTAGTTTAGTGGAAGAAAGCTCATCGCCTGCTATGCGGGCGGCCTGTGTTCGATTCCCAGTGAAGGGTGGACTTTTTTTTATTAATGATTTAAAGTTTCGCTTTTATTGTGGTACCTTAAAATCGCACCATTTCTTTTTTGTGAAATCTATCATCATACTATTAGCCATTTTCGTAAATGATAGTGTGGTGGATAGTTATCTATCTATATATTATATAAAACTCAAAGGTGACTGACTGACTAACATAGTGATCTATCAACGCACAGCCCAAACCACTGGACGGATCGGGCTGAAATTTGGCATGCAGGTAGATGTTATGACGTAGGCATCCGCTAAGAAAGGATTTTGATCAATTCTACCCCCAAGGGGATAAAATAGGGAATGAAAGTCTGTATGAAACTTTGTCATTTTTAAACCAATCGGGCTGAGGCTTTGCATGCAGGTATAAGAAGAATCATAGATGAATGTCATTGTGTATAATACAAGCCTGAGAACAAAAACTGTAGTCTACACTTCAGCTCTACACCGAAGCGAAGCGAGGGCGGGCCGCTAGTAATATTATATAAAGAGAAAAGGATACACTGACAGACTGACTGACATCATCGCACAGCCTATTATTGCCTAGACAAGTAATAAGATGGGAGTTTTTTTTTAATTCAGCCTCCTAAGCGTAAATTTTGCAAGAAAAACGTTTGTTCGTAAAATCTTATTACTTCTCTCGCATACACTCACCGTAAGAGAAAGTCTTACATACTAACCTTACGTTCCTTCTTCCAGACTTATTTAGATTCTGTAATTTGCCACAGGTACTGCTGAAACATTGACCGAGAGTCGTATAGCTTGCTCGCTCGAACAAAAAGACGCCTACTTGTACTACATTATCAAGAGGCATCCGGGAAGGACTATCGTGTTCTGCAACTCTATTGGGAGCGTCAGAAGGTACAGAATTGATTGTAGAATTATATAGTTTTAGATTTTTTATGTGAAACGTTTTTGTGGATTTTTTAAGAGCCGGCTCCCTCTCATTCGCCATTGTAATACTATATCCCTGAATGAGGAGCTCGATGGCGCAAGTGCTTAGCGCGTTCGGCTGTGATCGTTGAAGTTATGGAACTTTCGCAGAGGATGGTCATTCGATGGGTGACCAAAAGTTTATCATTTCGAGCTCCTCCGTGCTTCGGAAGGCACGTTAAGCCGTTGGTCCGGGCTGCATCTGCAGTCGTTAGCACCCACCAATCTGCTTTGGGCCCACGTGGTGGGTCATGGCCCAATCTCCCTATTCCATCCACAGGGAAGGCCTGTGCCCCAGCAGTGGGGACATTAATAGGTTGATGATGATCCCTGAATAGCATAGGCTATATTTTATTGCGCCAAATTAAAGTTAACTGGTGCCTAGCTGGAACATAAGTAAGCATTATTATTATTTAAAAATATTACCATAATATTTGAATTTGAATGGTAAAAATGCTCGTAATTGAGAAAAAACTGTGGAAGTACTTTTTAATAATAAAAAGAAATTACAATGCAATTTCACCTTTCTAAATGCAACGCGCTTACAAAACATTAAAAAAATCTAAACATTTTATCATTCCTCTGCTAGTTAGAGACTCGATTCAAGGTTGTTATTCCATTAAAGCTTGTAATAGCTATAGCATAAGTACGAATTTTATCTACATAGAATTAGAGGCAATGTCTTTGATATTATCCAATCTTTTCAGATTAGCACAACTGTTGACTTTACTCAAGTGCAGTCCGCTACCTCTTCATGCGAGTATGCCTCAAAGGCAACGACTCAAGAACTTGGAAAGGTATGTGCAATCACTAATAAATCACAGTCTTGCATCTAAATAAATAATTATAATTCCATCTAAATAAATATATTAGACGTTCGGCCCTTCATATAGGGCTCAGGAACGGTGGGAGTATTTCACAAGGTGCAAGATTGCCCCCTTATGTTATTCTGCCGCGATAGTGTAAATCCTATAAGGAGCCGTCCATTAATCACGTGATGATTTTTTTTGGCTTTTTTTTTTCTTTGAATTTACTGCAGTTAAGTAAAGATACCACGGTATAACTTTTATGAAACAGGGCCCAGCTCAGTATGTCCCCAACGTTTTCCATAGAGAATTTAAAGGATAGACTGTTGTTAAAATGGAGAAGAAAACCCAAAGTCTTTGGCCGTTAGTCCCTTGGACGAAGAATCTCGCTATTCTTTGGCCAATAACAAGCAATCTGTCACTTCAAACCTGCGTTCTTAACCTACGCTGTGAGTTCAACATTTTACCCTGACGTTTAAATTTTGACATAAAATGTATGAAACTTACGTTAAATTCGACACTTGGAGCGTAGGGTTCGTAACGCAGCCCAAGTCTATCGGAATTAGTTGGTTTTCCATGTAACTTTGACAGCTGTCTCGATTTATTGTTATGGGCCATTCGACCATAGAGGTATAAGAATAGAGTGGGGAAGGCGGCTCTAAAAGTGTCCGCCTTGTAGAAAGAGAATGAAGATGAGAGACCGCTAGCTATCTCTCTCTCTTGTGACGCATGCGCAGTCGCCTGTCCAATAGTTGGTCCAAGCATAACATCAAAATAGTAAGATGCTTACGGTTGCCGATGCGCATGCGTGATAAGAGAGAGAAAGCTAGCGGTCTCTCATCTTCTTTCTCTTTCTATTAGAGGGACACTTCCACTTGTAGTAGAGTCTATAGTATTATCTCCCCTACTCTATTCTTATACCTCTATGCATTCAACACCTTCGCTTCGGGCGGGATATATTGGCACTTTCTTCCCCATTAGGTTTAAGTTTAGAAATTCAATCCCCACTATCTGAGTATTAAATTTTTTGGCGCAAAGGTTCCGCGACGACCCGCATGGAGTGTTAGTGGCGACGGATGTAGCAGCGAGAGGATTGGACATACCCAACGTTGACCACGTCGTACATTACCAAGTGCCGAAAACTGCAGAGGTAGGTCTTTTTAAATTTTAAACCTTAATATATGTTGTGGTTATTTTCTTTAGGGCGAGGCAATAAAAAGGTTTGGGTCACTATACTGAAGTTTTATTATTTACTTTTATTTGTAAGATAATAATAATAAAATACAAATACAAATAAATACAAATACAAGTGCTTTATTTCCATACCTTATTATTATTACATTATATATAAGTAGGTATTAAATATGAATTGGAAAAAGGAATAGGCACCGCGCAGCTGGTTTTAAGCCTACCCATCGTAAAATGTTTGTGGTTAGTTATACAATACAATAACAGTTTCACAATGTACGCAATCAATCAAAGTATAACAGGAACAGGAAACATGTATAGTCTTATAAAAGTAGACAAAGGTATGTAGTGCCATACTGCCTTATATTACAACAATATACAACTTTGAAATATTAAAGCAGTATAGTAAACATTGTGTAAAAAAGAGTATTTTTGCGTCCTCTTTTAATGTTAAACATTGCGCCTCCATGACATAGAGTACATTACTCCATTTTAGAGTATAAGTGGCAACCATTCCCCAAACAGTCGCCAGCGCCGGTGTCGTTAACAAGCTTCCATATTATCCCATACTTAACTGACAAACGGACGTAGACACGGTTTAAAATCGTGCCTAGACCCGGGTAGAAATTTTCTCATTCTAAATGTCTGAACAGATTTGGATGGAAGTATAAGATATCATTAGAACCGATAACATTATCGCGAGTTACACTGGCTAAAGATTTCTTGCCAAATTCGAACTAAAAAGAAAAGAAGCTTTGTATAAAGAGAAATGTGTGTAACTGCCATTATATATATTTTTTTTAAACACACAGCAATTAGCCTAGCCCCAAAGTAAGCACTGTAAGGCTTGTGTTATGGGATACTAGGGTAACGGATAGAATACATATACTTTACATATATAAATATATTTATATAGAAATATACATATTAAACATCCATGACTGGAGTACAAATGCTCGTGTTCATCACACAAACATCTGCCCCCACCGGGATTCGAACCCGGGACCTCTCGAGTCGGCGACGTCATGAAACCCGGCGTACAAACCACTCGGCGACGGAGGTCGTCACATTTGTTAAAGCATTGAAATGCTGCTATATTTTTATATCTTAGAAAAAAAGGTCTTAAATCTCAGCACGATGTCTACCATATAGATCATTGTTTCAGAACTACGTACACAGAAGCGGTCGAACTGCGCGAGCGACTAAAGAAGGTCTCACTATACTTATGATGGAACCCTCCGAGGCCTATAACTACGCTAAACTGTGCAGGACTCTCAATAAGAGTAAGTTATGTTATCTATACATATAATATATAAATGGTAGGAAAGTCAAAACTGTACATTTAATATTTTTTTAAAGAATACAATCTACAATCGACACCGAAGCCAAAAATACAGTTTTCAGAATTTTTGTCTGTCTCCGGGATAAACTCAAAAAGTACTGCATGGATTTACTTCAAATTTTGGCACCAATATTATTAAGAAGTTGGATCAATATATAGGCTACATATTTTCACGCTATCACCTACGGGGAACGAGCAGTGAACCCTTATTTCTAACTAACTCCACGCGTACGAAGTCGCGAGCGGCCGCTAGTATACTTACATAATATATATCGTAACTTACTCAGAAATTCTACGTGGTCCAGGCAGCAGACGGGACTGGAACCCGCACAATCCGCTTTCCGGGTGAATGCACTGAACAATTATTCTACCGCGGCTCTAATGACCATGACGAATTTCTTCTAGTATTTTTAAGCTGCTAGGCAGCGGCATCTCTTCGCGTTGTAGATAACCCACAAACTTCAAACTAATACCTTCAGAATTATTAAACATTGAAAGAAGAAATAGCAATTGTAGTAATATTTTTGTTTTGTCGTGGAATTTTTTGTAGGTAAAAAATAAAAATATAAAGTTTTCTCTCCAAACAGTGACAGAACTGTCAAAATTCCCTGTGTCTCCGTACTGTCTCTCGTCATTCAAAGAGTTGGTCTCGTTGGCTCAAAGCCTGAACGCTTTTTACTCTTTCTTGTTATAAATTATTGTGTATAATAGGGGTCAATAAGAAGCCTTTTTTCCTGTTTTATGTTTAAAACATATTTCTCCCCAAACAGCGACAGAACTGCCAACACTCCACGTGTCTCCGCAATGTCTCTCGCCATTCAAAGAGTTGGTCTCATTGACTCAAAGCCTGAACGCTTTTTACTCTTTCTTGTTACAAATTATTGTGTATAATAGGGGTCAATAAAAAGCCTTTTTTTTCCCTGTTTTATGTTTAAAACATATTTCTCCCCAAACAGCGACGGAACTGCCAACATACCTCGTGTCTCCGCAACGTCTCTCGTCATTCAAAGAGTTGGTCTCGTTGGCTCAAAGCCTGAACGCTTTTTACTCTTTCTTGTTATAAATTATTGTGTATAATAGGGGTCAATAAAAAGCCTTTTTTCCTGTTTTATGTTTAAAACATATTTCTCCCCAAACAGCGACAGAACTGCCAACACTCCACGTGTCTCCGCAATGTCTCTCGCCATTCAAAGAGTTGGTCTCATTGACTCAAAGCCTGAACGCTTTTTACTCTTTCTTGTTACAAATTATTGTGTATAATAGGGGTCAATAAAAAGCCTTTTTTTCCCTGTTTTATGTTTAAAACATATTTCTCCCCAAACAGCGACGGAACTGCCAACATACCTCGTGTCTCCGCAACGTCTCTCGTTATTCAAAGAGTTGGTCTCGTTGGCTCAAAGCCTGAACGCTTTTTACTCTTTCTTGTTACAAATTATTGTGTATAATAGGGGTCAATAAAAAACTTTTTTTCCCCTGTTTTATGTTTAAAACATATTTCTCCCCAAACATCGACGGAACTGCCAACATGCCCCGTGTCTCCGCAATGTCTCTCGTCATTTAAAGAGTTGGTCTCGTTGACTCAAAGCCTGAACGCTTTTTACTCTTTCTTGATATAATTATTCTGTACAATAGGGGTTAATAAAAAGCCTTTTCTTTCTTTATTTGTCCTGTTTGCATTAACAACATATTCCTCTTCAAACAGCGACAGAACTGCCAACATTCCCCATGTCTCCGCAACGTCTCTCGTCATTCAATGACTTGGTCTCGTTGGCTCAAACCCTGGACGCTTCTTACTCTTTCTTATTATAAATTATTGTGTACTAGCTGTGCTCCGCGGTGTTACCCGCGGTTTATAAGGGATAGTTTCCCGCAGTAAAACGTAGCCTATGTGTTAATCCAGAGTGTCAGCTTACTCCATACCAAATTTTATTAAAATCGCTCCAGCCGTTTAGACGTAAAGAAGTAACAAATATATGCACTCGCAAACTTTCGCCTTTCTTATATTAGTGTGATAATAGGGGGCAATAAAAAGCCCCTTTCTTACTGTTTGTGTTAAAATCATATTTCTCCCCAAACAGCGACAGAACTGCCAACATTCCCCGTGTCTGCGCAATGTCTCTCGTCGTTCAAAGAGTTGGTCTCGTTGGCTCGAACCCTGGACGGCTTACTGCTGAAGAAGAGACGCGCCACCCAGTCCTCGGGGTGGAGGGAGAAAGCAGCCAGGGAGATGGACATGATCATCGACGACGACGACTTGTATCCTTGACAAAATAATATACTAGCTTCCTCCCGTGACTTCGTCTGTCTTAAATTTGGTTTTTAAGAATCCCACAAGAACTTCATTTTTTTCTTGGATAAAGAGTATCCTATATGTCAATCGTTGATTATTTACTTTAGATAGAGCGTGGCAGCGCAGTAGACGTTAAAAAAACTATCTCCCACCTGCTGGGGTCTAAGTCGTTTCCCGTCACTTAGTGTTCAATGCAACGCTGACCGAAACGCACGACAATTACCGAGTTTCGTGTTGAAATTATTTCTAAAAAATGCCGTGTTGCGTGATTAAAGTTTGCCATCCATTTCCATCTTGATTTTTGTCTGTTGTATGTCCTGGACAAACCCCAAAAAGTACTGCATGGATTTACTTCAAATTGGGCACGAATATTATTAAGAAGTCAGGTCAACATATAGGCTACATATTATCACGCTATCACCTACGGGGAACGAGCAGTGAACCTTCATTTCTAACTAACTCCACGGGTACGAAGTCGCTGGCGGCTGAACTAGCCACTTAATATTTGTACTACTATCGTATTTCTGTCTATTTATGTTTGTGTGTACAAAATTAAAGAAAAAAAAATATTTCATCAAAATAACGTCATAACTCACACACAGACCAGTGAAGCACGTTGACCCTTCCATAGACAAGGAGCTGCAAGTGCGGAAGAGGCAGCTCGAGTCTATGCTCTCCAGACCCATGTTCCCGAAAGGATTTTCCTTCAAATATCCCACTTTGAACAATTCTACAGTGTTTAATACTACAGAGGAGAACGCTTTGCAGGTAATTTCATTGTTATAATTTTCTTGAGGAGCTTAATTGCGCGGGTGGTCAGTGCGTTCAGCTGCGATCGTTGAAGTAAAGGAACTTTCGCAGTGGTCGGTCATTGGATGGGTGACCAAAACTGCTTGGAAACGTGGAAAGCACGTTAAGCCGTTGGTGCCCGCTGCATCTGCAGTCGTTAGCACCCGCCAATCCGCACTAGGCCCTCGTGGTGGGACATGGCCCAATCTCCCTATTCCGTCCATAGGGAAGGCCTGTGCCCCAGCAGTGGGGACATTAATAGGCTGATTATTTGATGATGACTTAAATATACTTATGTGTATTAGTATATGTATTCTTTCCGTTACCCAGTAATCCATAACACAAGCCTACACTGCTTACAGTGCTTACTTTGGGGCTAGCTAGGCTAATTGGTGTGAATGTTGGAAATATTTATTTATTTGTTGTTATTAAGCGGAGGTGACTTCCTCCATTTCGAGCGGTTCTGACATAGTATTATTATTTCAGGTGATGAAAAAAGCTTTAGAATCGGGAGAACTGAAGAAGGAGAAGCGAAAAAGCAAAAATGCACCACTCTTGAAATTACAAAGAGATTAGATGTATACTTATAAAAAATGTATGTTTGTGTACAAATATATTTTTGAATTAATAAAAATTGTTGCATAATATAGTATTTTCATTTAGTTCGTACATACATCCTGATTTGTAGTGCAATGACGTTTTATTTGAGCTGAGATTGACTCTTTAGATTTCAGACCACTTTTGTACACTCGCGGAAAGACCCGCTCTGTCACCCATAATGCTATAATCGCTTGCGGTAGCGGCGTAGTATAAATTTATTCATAGACATGTTATTATCGCTGTCTTACTTTTTCGTATAGCGCTGTCGCGATCACGATGCGGATGACAAATTTCAACTAAAACAAATGCAATTCAATTCATTATTCAATCAATGAAATGCTCTCTGTCTTACTTTTGTGCGGCGGCCCGGATTGGCGCGTCCGACGCGAAGGCGGGGCGTAGTAAAAACTACTGTAGAAAACCGTTCAAAGCATTTTGTTCCCCAAGTGACAGAGCGCAAAATTCCACGATAGTACCTTGGTACAAATTATATCAAAAACATCTAAATCAATTAAAAAATGCTTAAAAAGACTCGCTCACCAAATCTCAATAAATTCAATAGAAACGTTAGTACTGAGATAAAAGTTATTGACTGACCTGAGATGACAGCTTTTTAGGTTTTATAGGTTTATTATTTACTAGCAGTGCCCCGTGGTGTTATCCGCGGTTTAAAAACGTAGCGTATGTGTTAATCCAGGGTGTCAGCTAACTCCATACTACCAAATTTTATTAAAATTGCTCCAGCCGTTGAGACGTGAAGAAGTAACAAACATACTCACTCACATACTTTCGCCTTTATAATATTAGTTTGATACTATGTACTATATTATGTTTGTTATATTAATATAGGTTTAAATTAATTTTCTTTATTGTGATTGGCTGTATCAAAAATCACGTGACTATTTTCGTCACATTGTAACTATGGATATGTCAGTGACATTTTATGATACACAATCTTTTCCCCCACGACAACGGCTAACTAGAGCCGAGGTTAGAGTCTCAGTGACGCCCTCTAGTTGAGCTGACCCCCTAAGGTTCGAGTGGTCTAGAGGCTCCAGACGGAGAGGAGACTCCCCCCGTGGGGAGATGCCATCCGCCTGGAATACCTCTAGAGGCACTCGCCAATTCTCGGCTTGAGGTCCCCTTAAGATCTCGCCGTCCCCAAACCCGTTGACGCTGTAAAGGTCATCTGCGACCAACAGCATACACACTCAAAAAACAACCTTTAAGTCAACTCTTTCAGTTATTATATTTTTATTTTGATGGGCTTGCAATATAATATTTTGTTACATTCAAGCTTTTGCTGATTAGGTTATTTTTTTATAATTTTCGAAGCTTAGGGCGCTTTCAATTTATGCGTTTCTTGACGGCCTACTGCGGTGCCGAAGCGGTGCGTTTGTCGTACAGTTTGCAACAGTCCTGTTGTCGTGCGTTCGCGGTACCGGCGCCGCAGTTCGTATTCCATAGCATTTCTAATTTGTTGAGTGTAGCGCGTGTATATTATTATCTGTTTAAAGTGTAACTAACTAGTTGAACGTTGAGTGACGCTTGTTCAATCAACGTTCGGCCTAGTCATTCAATCAAATGTCGTCACACAATGAACGCGCTAGTCATTCAATCAAAAAGCAGATTCAACCAGATGACGGCGACATATCGCACCTTTATTCCAATACTGTCATTAAACAAAATTCTTCAAAAAATAGTTTACAACGCCAACTATTTGCTACGTTATGAATCTACACATTACTTCAAATCCTGTATTTTATTTTTATTTTATGACTAGTGGCCCGCCCTCGCTTCGCTTCGGTGTGGAGCTGTAGTGTAGACTACAGATTTTGTTCTCAGGCGTGTATTGTACACATTGGATTTATTTATTTAATTCTTTTTTTATGATTCTTTTTTATTGAATAGGTAATAATGTTAACTTTTTTAAATTAGGGATGAGTGAGAGTATTATAAACGTAAGAGTAAACAAATATAATCAGAATGCTCCGAACTGCTAAGCTATCAGGAGTTACACGTATTATTGTGAGTAAACCATAAAAGATAGACATATGCTGTTGCAGGATATTTTTTAGACAATTTTATGTAGAATATTTACGTCATTCATGATTTCTATGTAACTTTAACCATTAAGGTTGCGCACGCGACGGAAGCTTAAAAAATGGAGTAACTTCTCCCGTTTTCCCAACATTTTCCTTCACTACTCTGCTCCTATTGATTGTAGCGTGATGAAAAGTATACTATAACCTGCCCAGGAGTATGAAGAATAATTGTACCAAGTTTCGTTAAAATCCATTGAGCAGTTTTTGTTTCTATAAGGAACATACACACAGACAGACAGACAGACAAAAATTTTACTGATTGCAATTTTGGCATCAGTATCGATCACTAATCACCCCCTGATAGTTATTTTGAAAATATATTTCATGTACAGAATTGACCTCTCTACAGATTTATTATAAGTATAGATAATGACAGTATTGGAATAAAGGTGCGATATATATAGTGGTTTTTATAAACCTGAAAAGGTTTTGAAATAAAAATAACTGTGTTAGGTAAACGCGTTTTGCAGTATCTATTCAATGAATACAAATAACGAATGACGCAAAATATTCTGTCTGAATAACGTGTAAGAGTTAATACAAAGTACAGACATAATATTTATTTATTGTCACGTTATCTTATTGTAATGTCATCGCAAAGACAGTAACATGAACAACACTGCCTTTAATCAAACTGAAAACTATGGATGTCTCTGAGTACGAGCGTAGTAATACTTATAGCACTAAAAGACGTTAATTTAAATTTAATGTTTCATTTTGAGACGTCTTTTAAATTTTTTTGCGAAGAAAGAGCCGTCATCAAAATTAAATAAGGTTTAAAGAATTTTTATTTCTTATACGAACTTACACTACAGTTCACTTAAAATGAGACACTTAACTAAAACTAATAACTTAATTAAAATGGTGCAGCACAGCTGCTTTTTAAAACTATCATCTGAGGAGCTGGCGAATAAAACGGTATAATAGGGAGGGATGATGACTAATTTTTGTCCGCCATTGTAATTTTTGTCTTTTTTCACATAATATAAACATTGCAGAAATATACTGATTTGAAAAGTCGCATGACGTCACATTTTGGTACAATTTTCACTTAAAAGTAACGTCACGAGCCCCTACTCCCAAACTTTGACGCGCTATAACTTTGTCATTTTTTGGTTGATTGCCCAAAGAAAAAATACGTGTCCGTTATTTTTTGATCATCTAACTGACGGACTAAATAGAATTTCGTTTACTGTACTCCGTCATCACCCCTATTACATAAAAATAAGTTTTACAGAAGCAGTAAAAAATTGAAGGACATACCTACCTACAATGAGCTTTTGGCGTGATTTTTAGTTTAGTACTTAATTTTAACACTGTTTTAGACGGTTTTGATTGACATGAGTTGTAATTCAAATTCAGCTGGCCCAAAACCTCCGGGCAGTAGAATATGGTAAAAACCATATGCGTAATTGTACCGTTTGGTTCGCCAGCTCCTCATCTAGTAATAAATATAATTTAACTTAAAAGTCAATTAAGATCTCTTAAGAGAGGTTGGCTCATATTTAATTAATAAATATTAATGGCGAATACATCTCACACATTCGATTCGCGGACGACATCGTCATCCTGGCTGAAACCCTACAAGAGCTACAGGAGATGGTGAGTAACCTGGCTGAATCTTCCAAAAGCATCGGTCTCCGGATGAACTTGGATAAAACCAAGGTCATGTTCAACGAGCTCGTTGATCCGGGACTGGTTGCTGTTAATGGAGTACCTCTCGAGGTTGTTCAGGAATATGTCTATCGCACAAACGCATTGTAAAGGCAATAGAAGAATTCAGTTGGGCTGGGCAGCATTTCATAAGCTTCGTCAAGTCCTCGTCACTCATCCCTCATTGTCTCAAGTCGAAAGTCTTCGACCAGTGCGTCCTCCCAGTTATGAATACGGCGCCGAGACGTGGACACTCAGGGCTGGACGAGTCCACCAGTTTAAAGTCGCTCAGAGAGCTATGGAAAGGGCTATGCTCGGAGTTTCCCTGAAGGACCGCATCAGAAATTATGTAATCCGACAGAGAACGAAAGTCACCGACATAGCCCACTGAAGTCGCAGTGGGCTGGTCACATTAGCCGCAGAACTGATGGCCGTTGGAGCCGGAAAGTTCTTGAGTGGAGACCACGACTCGGTAAACGTAGTGTAGGACGCCCTGAGACAAGATGGGATGATGATATTCGTAGGCTGGCTGGAGTGGGCTGGATGAGAGTAGCACAAAATCGGGAGCAGTGGCGTGCATTAGGGGAGACCTATGTCCAGCAGTAGACGAACATGGGTTGATGATGATGATGAAGAGAGGCTGCAATTTCTTGTTATATATTTTTACTTATGTGCGGAAATGTAAACTGGGAGAGGGTCGACGAAGTGTGACATTATATCATTAAATCATTTGCGTCTGCTGAAATTTTATGTATATTTGGTTACTTTTTACCAAAATGGACATAGAAACGTAATTTACAATTACGAAAACTATGATAGTTTTAGTGAGCTCAAACTTGTACTAAGGGTACAGAATGACATACACACTGCGAGCGTTTGGGGTGGTTATTAATTTGGTTCTATTCATCACCGTTTTAAGCGGTTTTCAATGAAAATGAGTAGAGATTCAAATTCAGCGAGCGCAAAAATTCCACAAACAGAAAAAAAATGACCAGTTACGTAATAACATCGTTTTGTTTACTAGTTCCTCAAATATGACCAACTATGACAAGCACGGGGAGGGGTAAAAAATCACGAAGTTCGCCGACCAGTCTTACCCCAAGTTGGTTGGTCCTTCGAGCCGGTTCAATGAGAAGGGTCCTATTAAATGACGTGGACTGGAATTATAGGTGTAAACTGGTATATTTATAACAAAAAGAACGACGACGACGACGATAAACAGCGACGTGGTGTTATATTATTTTTGGACTCGGTTGGGCCCCGTGCGATGCTGTGCGTGGAGGCTAAGAGAGTGTTGGTCGCCGCTGGCCGCTCGTCCCCTTGGTAGTAGTCCCTCTTGCCGCACGTCTCCTCCCGTACGTAAGACTGGTCGGCGACAATGGATGACCCCTTATGGGTAGGTATGTGTTTTTGTCGTAACAACGTCTTATAATTCGATGGAGCCGGCTGCACGCACGAAAAAACATGACTCATGCGGCGTTACCTCGCTCTGAGGCGTTCCATTTAAAGCTTGAAGTGCAAGCGAGCGCGCAACGAGCGACAAAGAGGCACAATCGGCCTCCGCGTTCGGCAGCGTTCGACATCTGTCTCTCTCCTACTCGAGTGAGCGATGCGTCCGCGTGGAAAGCTGCCATACAATAATACATTTACATGTTTTCGTCAAGTCTGAAGTGCAGTGAATGTGGTGTCAATTGTTTATAGCAACGATAAAGGTAATGATATCACACATGTTTAAAAGTTGTAAAACAATTGCTCAAAGCACATTCATACTTGTAAAAACTATGTACATACATTGTAAAAAAACGTTGTAATTTTCAACTATCGTCAGTAAACCGACTTTACAGACAACCGTTTTTTTTCTTTATTAGGGTAAACAAACAATGATGCAATCTTGTTACATTATAAACTAATACTACCAGTGCCCTAATTGCATTATCCACTAAATTTACCACAGTTTTTAACAGTTATTAGCATTGGGAGACTGTAAACATTTAACTTAAATTTACTATTAATTTACTTCTTTGCCTATTTTACATAAATACATCAAGTTAAGTACAACTTCTGACTTATTTATTTATTTATTTTAGAGTACTTTTCTTTAAAATTATTATTTTTTATAATAATCGAATTCTGTTCTGTAAATATCAAATGCATATTAACACAGTTCCTTAAACTAATCTTTAACTTACCTAATAGATTAGGATTATCTCATTTGATAAAATAATTAATTACTATTCGTTGTAGATTAAGTACGAGTTACCTTCATCTTTACCTGATAAATTATATTATACATTAAAACTGGGTAGCACTTTTCTATTGAAATATTTTTTAATAAGCTTCACGTACAATGGAGGCCACTAAAGTTGTTACACTTGTGTTTTTGACTACGTATTTATTAAAGTTAGATTTGAATGTAAAAAATATATATAAAATGATTTCAAGTAGGATCTTCTTCTTCTTCTTGCTACGGGCGTTTCCGCAACTCGACGTCCTTATGGCGCCTGTTTTGCGTGAGGAGGGTGTATGGCCGGAATCACTCCAGTCAGCCCAGTTCCGCCAGGAAGGCCCCCAGGGCCTTCACGTTGGTGACTGCCTCTTGAAGGTTTCCCGGTGAGCCGAGGTATTTCGCCCGGTATTCGGCCACTCCGTTGCATTCCAGCAGAACGTGAGTAGCTGTTTCTTCTGCCTCCATGCATCCTCTGCATAGGGGGCTGTCCGTGACACCTATGTTGAAAAGATGAAGTCTGTTAAAATGTGCATGTCCAGTAATAGCACCTGTTGCCATGCGCAATGTAGGTTTGCTTAGCTGTAGGAGAGTTTTGGAGAAGGCAGCGTTCACCCGTGGCAAAGCGAGCTTGGTCAGCCTGCACATCTCCAGATCGAGCCAGTGTTGCTGGTGTAGTGCAGCTGTGTGCTCGCGGATTTTATTGACGAGACAGCTTACCGGTATCGGGACAATTGGTTCGGGTTCAAGTAGGATATTATTTTAAAATACACACCGCAGTTATGTGTGAGTAAATGCTCATAACTTGACCAAAACTTGGTTCTCGGTTGCTCCCGGGTTTGAGCGCTGATTGGTTCGATTGTTTGTAGTCGCGTCGTTTGATTGGCTATTATCTATTAGGTGGAAGTGTAGTGTGGTGAGCCGACGACATACCTTCCCGTACAAACGTCTTTGATCACACTTCTAACCCTTTTTTGTGTTCTGTGCTTTTAACAGTCCTAACCTAATGATAGTTCTATAAAATATGGATATATTTTTTTAACTTGTCATTATCAACAACGATTCATTTGAAATACAGAGATAGCAACGTGATGGATCCGAATTTAATGCACGCATTTGTATCCATACAAGATAATAACTGTCATTTTACGGAACCTTATCGTAAGAAATTGATATTATTCTATAAATCAATTTAACATTTTCTGATTGTAACCACCGGTCTCCAGTGTACAATTAGCAAGTTAAATATTGTTTTTTCCCTTTTACAATTAAACCACACGTTGATATCAAAGTGAATGTTATGTGACATACCTCCGGACATATTTCAAGATCTATATATCACGATTATCATATGATAAGATATAGTGATATCGAATCTTTCAGTAGTAAACATGGTGTTGATACATATCGCGATTTTAAGGTAAATAGAACATCCCGTGTGTGTTCACGTGATTCCTAAGTTTTTACCCGACTGGGAAAGGAGGTTTAATTTTATATAAATTTCCATAGTGTTTAAATACGAAAGTTGTTAAAGTTTTCGCTTCGTTTTTATGCGGATGATCGCGTAACGTAAATGTATAAATTGGTTGTATTGAATTAAAGATAAGGTTTGACTTTTTATTTTAGTATATATTACAATGTTTTTAATAACGCGTTGCTAATTGCAGCTAAACAAGTTAAACAACAATTATTAACATATATTACAATGTGTACAGAATTTTTTTAAAATGTCTTGAAGATCGTTAGTTCTTGCCACAGTAAATTGAATTTAATTCATAAGAATATTTGATTTACACAATGCGATCCGTTTCATGCAGTTTTCGCTTCTACAATACTTAAGAATTGTGATGACATTATGTATTTTATTCGTAATTATAATTGTAATTGTTCAATTAAAGAAAATAAAGCTAGCGGTCTTTTATTTATTACGGTAATACGAGAATCAGAATTTATGATAAAATTCAAAAAATTCAAAATTCAATATCTTTTATTCAGTCTAGGCTGTTACAAGCACTTGTGAATGTTGAAAAGCTACGCCATCGGTTCGCAAATCTACGGCGGGAGACCTTGTACTGAGAAGAACCGGCAAGAAACTCAGCAAGGGCTGTTTTTTTTCTCCCTGTATTATATACAGAGTTGTCAAATTGAAAAATGACTTCAATATGAGGTCACTCATAAAGTCACTTTCCATTACAAATGCAAATAATGTAAAAATTATGACTATATAAAAAACTGGTTTAACAAAGTTTAGGAATGCCTTGTCCTACTGTTTAGGCAAAAAAAAAATAGTCATCCAGACCAGCATACATATAATTATTGATATAAGTAATTATCAACCCATAATATTTCAACACGGTTGTTTTTGTTTCCGTAGTGTTTTGTTTTTACTGCTGGAAGCGACTTTACAAAAGTTCCCACCGAATTTCAAGTTCGGTGCCTCCACATCAGCATATCAGATAGAAGGTGCTTGGAATGTCAGCGGTAAGTTTGTTTTAATTTTAATACATCATCACCATCATGCTATTAAAGAAATCATAGCTATGGTAAAGGAGTTCCCTATGGAAAGACTAGGGAGATTGTGCCATAACCCACCACGCTGGCCCGGGTTTTCTACGCCATATCGAATGCCAGTTGATCGGTGACAATGAACCGAAAATCCGATATATCGATTTGCCATTTGATCGAAATTTCAATAAATCGATTTGCCATTAGATCTAAATTTTAATAAATCGACTTTTAATACATTGCTGTGACATTAAATTGAAATTTCAATAGATCGCTGTAATATTAAATCGAAGTTTCAATGCTTATCGCAGATGTTGTTGGGACTTAGGTACTTCGAATCCAATGATGTATCTGGAAAATTGTATCTCGTAAAACGTCTAATGGTAATCGAACTGCCACTTTATTTTTCATCGAGTTTATGGTCAATATCAAACAATGCGTGGTCAAATTTACCCAAGGAGTCAAAATAACCCAGAAATCTGGCATCGACGATGGAATACGCAACTTGGTAAACAAAAACACGGACCGTACGCCAAAATAAGATTTTCGATCAGAGAGCAGATGCATTTTATCTTATAAAACATCGATCTAATTAGCTTTTGATAATATTCGCAGAACGAGCTATTTATCTATCGATTATTTGTCATTCGATCTAATGGGATATCGATATATTGGGTTTTCGGTCTGATGTCATCGATCAACTGCAAGGGCGGATCCAGCTTTGGCGCCAGGGGGGTCACATAGCCAGCTTTGGCGCCAGGCGTCATATGGTCGTGGTATATTAAATATTGAAAGTACTTAAATAAAATCCTCCTGGGTTTGGTCCATCTGTACCCAGCCCAGGGGGGGGTCATGACCCCCATGACCCCCCCCCCCCCCCCTGGATCCGCCCTTGATCAACTGTCAGGGCGCGTTTATATGACACAGAATGTCACAGCGTGGCGCTGCGCGGTGACAGTACAGCGACAGCACGGCCAAAGCGCGGCGGCCGCAAGAATTTTTTCGCGTCGTCTATTTGCAGCCTCATTCGTTTTGCCGTAGAAAACCCTGCGGGCGCAGTATGGGGTTGATGTATTTTATAACGACTGCAGATGCAGTCGAGGAGTTCACAGTTAGCACATTTTTGGTCACCCATCCTATGACCGGTTATTGCGAAAGTTGCACAGACCGATCGCGCTAAGTATTGCTGATCATTGCGCCACCAAGTTCCTCTTTTTATACAAGGCGCATAAAATTATAGCACACGGTATTTTAAGTGTGAGTGGTGTAAGAAGCAATGTTGCTCAAAACATAACATCATCATCATCAGTATCAGCCTATTAATGTCCCCACTGCTGGGGCACAGGCCTTCCCTATGGATGGGATAGTTAACATACTTAAATCACTATAATCTGCGTAGTCCAGTAGGACCACGGGTTCCATAGTGGTATACCGTGGTCCCTCCAGTAGGACCAACCGGTGGGACATTGGGCCTTTAATCAAATAATGATATGGAATACCAATTGTTAAGAATAAGTCTAGCTATCCAAAGAGGGAACGCTGCCAGTATCTTCGGAACCTTGCCTAAAGGGACTCCTTTTAATAATGTATTTTAGTTATTATATTTTATTTTTTAAGGTTTTTAGTTTTAGGTTCATTGTTATAGTATATTTTTTGTTTTAATTATTCTTAAATTTATTCATATTGCACCATATTGTTGTAAATTATATAGTATAAAAAACGACTCGACGTCTTACGATATAATATACATGTATACCAATATTGTGGATCCATTCAGACACTCAATTTTACGGCTATCAGAGGAAGAGTGGTAGGGCATAGAGGATTTTCTGGCTCTAATTGGAGCGCCCGTCTGGGGAAGCAACATCCACCTTTCTGAAGACCACAGTAAAGTTTGGTGGTGTTGTTTCCGTCGATGAATAAGGTTCCAGGTCTCCACGGGGTAGGGGATTGGGTCAGGGTATAATACGCTTATGATTTTATTTATTTTTTAAGCATTTAACTGCTACATTTTTAAATCTAAAGAAAAGTTTACTAGAAAAAAATCCACGCGGACCAGGCAGCGGACGGGACTCGAACCCGCATCCTTCGCTATCCGGGCGAATGCACTGACCATTATGCTACCACGGCCCTATTAGCCGCGTCGAAATTTTCCTAGCCTTAAGCTGCAAGGCAGAGCGCCATCACTTCGCATTGTAGGTAACCCACAATGTCACATGAATACTTTTTCAAGTATTAAACATTTGAGAGAAGAAATAGCAATTACAGTTATGATTTTATTTATTTTTTAAGCATTTAACTGCTAGATGTTTAAATCTAAAGAAAAGTTTACTAGAAAAAAATCCACGCTGACCAGGCAGCGGACGGGACTCGAACCCGCATCCTTCGCTATCCGGGCGAATGCACTGACCATTATGCTACCACGGCCCTATTACTTTTTTTTTTCTAGTAAACTTTTCTTTATAATACGCTTGTTTGCCACGCTTTTAACATAAAAAAGGAAGCGGTCTAGGGCCACTTAGCACACAGTACCGGATAAAGTGCATAGTGACGACCTTCGTTGCCGAGTTTCAAGGTGTCACCTACTCGTTAGGATCCGGGCTCGAATCCCGGTGGGGATTCCCAGATGTTTGTGTGATGCTTACGAGCATTTGTACTCCATTCATGGATGTTTAATATGTATTTCTAGTAAATATACTTTTGAAGTGAAACTTCTTTATCGGCGTTGGAAAAAAATTTACCGTCACATTTTTTTCGGTTACGCGTCATGTTTTTTGGTTACGCGCCATCTTTTTTTAAAAGAGCACTAGGTATTTACCTCATCCGAACAATTGCTTCTTCTGTCAACTTTAAAAAAAAAAGTATCGACAGCAAATATTCGTGTTTCACACAAGGTAAGGTAAGGTAAGGTAAGATAAGGTAAGATAAGTTAAGATAAGGTAAGATAAGGTAAGATAAGGTAAGATAAGGTAAGATAAGGTAAGATAAGGTAAGATAAGGTAAGATAAGGTAAGATAAGGTAAGATAAGGTAAGATAAGGTAAGATAAGGTAAGATAAGGTAAGATAAGGTAAGATAAGGTAAGATAAGGTAAGATAAGGTAAGATAAGGTAAGATAAGGTAAGGTAAGGTGTAGTTATACCCCTTTAGTGGGTGAGTTTTTGAAAAATCTTAGCGCACGCCTATATATATATTTCTGGAAAGTTGCATGTAGATCATTTTTCGAAAAAAATAAGGCCATAAAGAAGTTTCACTTCTTACGTGTGTACACTAGTACACGCACACATTTTTTATGTGTATCAGTATATGTATTCTATCCGTTACCCTAGTATCCCATAATAACACAAGCCTACTTTGGGGCTAGGCTAATTCGTGTGAGTGTTGAAAATGTTTATTTATTTATAGTTATGCTCGCTGCTAAATTCACAACCGCCACAATGTTTGCATCGCAGTGAATGTATAATGTTTATGTTGTACAGACAAGTCCGTCAATATATGGGATGATTACACACACTCTTCTCCCAACCTGGTGGGTGATGGAAGCACTGGTGATATCGCCTGCGACTCCTACCACCAGTGGCGACGGGACGTCCAAATGGCTAAGGAACTTGGGCTACATTTCTACAGGTAAACTCATTGCTAAATAACTACATCATCAACAACCTCCGTGGCTGAGTGGTTTGAACGCTGGGTTTCAAGGTGTCGCCTACTCGAGAGGTCCTGGGTTCGAATCCCGGTGAGGGCAGATGTTTGTCTGATGAAAGCGGGCATTTGTACTCCAGTCATGGATATTTAATATGTATTACTATATAAATATACTTGTACTCATATGTGCATCAGTATTATGTTTTCTATCCGATACCCTAGTATCCCATAACACAAGCCTACGGTGCTTACTTTGGGACTAGGCTAATTCGTGTGGATGTTGGAAATATTATTATTATATTATTATCAACATTAGCCTATTAATGTTCCTACTGTTAGACCATAATTATGCTTTCCCTTCGAAGGGAATAGTGCAGATTAGTGAGTGATAATGACTGCATATGCATCACGGACCAAGTTTAACTTGACTTCCAAAGCACGGTGGAGCTTGAAAAAAATATTTTTTTTTGGTCACCCATCGACTGACCGACCATTGCGAGTGTTGCTTAACTACCACGATCGCAGTCCGAACGCTCTAGCCATTTGAGCTCTATATATTATATTTATTTATAAAATGTAGTAAACTATGTGTGAAGGCAATTTATTTGCTAATTAGTACCACTTTAGACATCCTTTACGTCTCGGTCTGACCCCACCATTTAACAACATTTATATTTCGTTTTTATTGATCTGTCGTAAACAATCGATCGATCGGAGATATATTGTATTTAATATATCAAGTTTTACTAGTTCAGAGCCGGATTTAGAGGCGTGGGGGGCCCAGGGCAAGGAAGTAATGGGGGCCCCTAAATCTGGGCCGGGTACCATACGATTTGCAGAACCCCTCCTTGTTCAAAACTTGTCGAATTTCGTTTTTCTTTCTCTGTTGTGGAGGCCTCTATTTTGTGGGAGCCCCTGGGCGACAGCTCCGCCTGCCGTGCCTTAAATCCGGCTCTGACCTAAGGCTACGCAACTGGGGATGCCATATTTTCTAACTAAGTTAACTTGGCCTCAAATACAAATGAAATGAAATAAAAAGTGATTTATTCAGTCTAGGCTGTTACAAGCACTTGTGAAGGTCAAGAAGCTACGCCATCGGTTCGCAAAACTACGGCAGGAGACCTTGTACTGAGAAGAACCGGCAAGAAACTCAGCAAGGGCTGCTTTTTTCTCCCTGTATTGATATATACAGAGACTTCAGAGATACTTCTGAAGTCACCTTGCATTACATCATTTAGGATATAGATATATAGTTACAATAAATTTTATATTTAGTATATAACAAAGAAAAGAGACTTCTTTGTTTGATCGCAACTCATAGTACGACAGGTCTACCGAAGCCCGCGAAAAATCGGGAAAAGCAATATTTGGCTGAGCACGACCGATAAAAGCCAAACATGGCAACCACATGCACTCCATGACGTAAGAACGACTTAACCGTTTATAGGAAACTTAGTTAAGATATATCGTTGCAATTTTACAATAGGGATGATGACAATTTTTTTTCTTCGTTTATCTAGTACATTATCAAAAAGTATTGGACACGTATTTTTTCTTTTTTCACATAATATAAACATTGCAGAGATATATTGATTTGAAAAGTCGCATGACGTCACGTTTTGGTACAATTTTCACTTAAAAGTGACGTCACGAGCACCTACTCCCAAACTTTGACGCGCTATAACTTTGTCATTTTTAGGTTGATTGCCCAAAGAAAAAATACGTGTCCATTATTTTTTGATCATCTAAGTGACGGACTAAATAGAATTTCGTTTACTGTACCCCGTCATCACCCCTATTCTACCCGATAGTACCTGAGTGCTCTATAAATTTCATCTATTTTTAGATTTTCGATATCATGGTCCCGTCTGCTACCGCAAGGGTTTGCAAACGAAGTGAGTGCGGACGGAAAGAAATACTACAATGATCTGATCGACGCCCTCTTGAAGAGCGGGATTGAACCAGTGGTGACCCTGTACCATATGGACCTGCCCATGAGGCTGCAGAATTTAGGTGAGTTACGCCCGAACTCAGAGAGAGACGTTAGTTAACTTTTCAGTAGATAAAAGTTATTGCTGTCGCGGTAAAGTTGCGGATAGAAGCCACCTTATTCAAGAAATAATAACATTTCACAAATCTCTTTGAAATCCATCAGAACTGTAAAATTGAGCTATCATTACGATCAGTTCTAATCTAACAATACCATAGAGCAACACGGCTGACGCGACCAGGAGGGAAGTAGGCATACGCAGCTTTCCCCTCTGTCGAATTGGACATAAAAATTGGGCATACAAACGTATCCCCCGTTTAAATGGAAGGATGATTTTAATAGTGTAATGACGCTGCCCTCTTCTGTTGATGCTCTATGAACAATACATTGTTTGGTTCTCATCCTACGCCCGAATGCGTTTTCCCTATACGCTGACTGGTTGAGGACCTGGGCTACCATAAACGATCCCATGGTTCCCTGAGAAGGGGGATACTCGCTATAAGGAGTCCCTGATAAAATATATATACCGCAAGGTGTAGTTAAAATGTTTTTAATGCTTGTTAGGTGGGTGGGCCAATCCCCTCATCTCCGATTGGTTCTCATCCTACGCCCGGGTGGCGTATTCCCTATACGCTGACCGGGTGAAGACCTGGGTGACTATAAACGACCCTATGGTCACGTGCGACGGTGGATATTCTGGTCTGATGGCACCAGATATAAGGAGTCCTGATGTGGGCTCGTATCTGTGCAGCAAAAATGTGCTGCTGGCTCATGCGAAGGCCTGGAGGATGTACGACAGGGAGTTCCGGCCGAAGTACTACGGTGAGTGTGAGAAAAGTGTCTATTTATAAATTGATTTTTTTTTTCTACAAATAGGCTTTTGTTTTTTTGTACTTACTTTAATCTTGTCATTGCTCTTTTTATTTACGTCAAACAGTAACGCAGTGAGTAATGGGGTATATTTTAAAGCATCGTAATGTACATACGGCACGGCCGCACTGAAAACGTCAATTATATTTAATGTATATATTAAAAAATGAAAGCTCTTGTGACTTAGTGTCGCCGCATACGGGCCACCGACCACAACCACAAAACGTCGCCGCGCCACCGGCATATTTCTTGTAGTTTTCATACATTTTATATGGACTCGCCACATACGGTACGCCGGTGGCCGCCACACTCTACAAATCGTCGTTGCTCGCTTCTTGTGGCCCGCACCGGCCACTTAATGCGCCGATACAAAACGCCGCTACACGTCACTCGGGCGATTCCCCACCCCTCTCTCCCTTACCTTAGTCGGCCGTTGTCGTGCGCTTCAGCCACTTTAGTAGCCGCTTCTAGCTTCTCGTGGCGGCGTTTGTGGCTGTGGCGTGTGGCCCGTGTGCGGCGGCACTTAGGGTTACTTACATGAGTAAACTTTTACAGTATTGCTAAGCTTCAGCCGAAAATGTACCTATAAGAGGCCGTTTAAGGTGAATTTGTTTAAATTTCAGGTCAAATATCAGTAGCGAATCAAATAATATGGTTCCAAGGGGAAAAGAAAGGGGATGATGAGTTAGCCGAGTTGTTAATGCAGAACAGTGTAAGTCACGCCGTTTTTATATGATAAACGATCCGCCCCGACTTTGCACGGGTGAACTTTAGTTTTAGCGCGCTAAAATATGGCTCAGGGATATTGTAGCATTCTAATGGTGGAAGAATTTTAGAAATTGGCTCAGTAGTTTATCCGTTAATTCATTACAAACAGAAGAACAGACTGAAAATTTCACTAGAATAAATCGTCTTGTTCACAGAACAAATAGGAGGTTAGAAAGGCCTTGTGGGGCAGGCGCGTCACAGTTATAAATAATAAAATAAATAAATAAATATTTCCAACACTCACACTAATTACCTTGCCCCAAAGTAAGCACTGTAAGGCTTGTGTTATGGGATGCTAGGATAACGGATAGAATACATATACTGTACATATATAAGTTGTACAAATGCTTATATTCATCACACAAACATCTGCCACCGGGACTCGAACCCGGGACCTCTCGAGTCGGCGACACCATGAAACCCGGCGTACAAACCACTCGGCCACGGAGGTCGTCATCAAAACTTGGTTCTGATTGCGTCGTTCCTCTCGGGTGTGAGCGTTGATTGGTTCGATTGTTTGATGTCGCGTCGTTCGATTGGCTATTATCTATTATGTGGAAGCGTAGTGGGGGTGAACCGGAGACATCGGTTCCCGTAAAAACGGTCTATGTTCACCCTTCTAACCTCTTCCTGTGTTCTGTGGTCTTGTAATCAAGAACGTTGTTTTGGCTACCTTTAATGGAATACTTTCATCCAGGTAGGTAGGTTCTCCCACCCAATCTACTCGAAGGAGGGGGGATGGCCATCTTCTTTGGAGAAGATCATAGCAGAGAACAGCAAGAAGGAAGGCCATTCCAAATCCAGGTTACCTGCCTTCACTAGAGAGGAGATTGAATTAGTCAGAGGTATGTATTTAGTTAGAATGTTACATTGCAAGGCTTCTTTTAATTCAAAGTTAATTTTAATTACAAGACTGCTGGGTCCTATTTCCAAGTCGACATTGTCGTTCAAAAATCTAAGCCAACGGTTTGTTATGGGGTGATATATTTACTGCACCGATTTCAGTAATTAATAGTTGGATAGTGGTTTTGCTTATACGGAAGTTTACTTTGAACCCAAAATCAGTGATATATAAGAAGAAAAAGATATCACAAAGGAAGTGACAATACCAAGTTGAATCACTAAAAGTATAGAAGTCTCAAGCAAAAGGCACAAAAAAAATAATTAGACAATTTTAAATGTCGTTCGCTGTTTTCCTGGGGGCAGTTTTGTGAGGCTTCGTTGGTTTGAACTCAAGCGCGCCTCTGTAGCTCTTCGGGGCCCGTGTTACTATACGTGGGGGTAAAGTACTCTTCGAAGGAGGCGGGGGGGGGGGGGGGGGGGGGGGGACCCTTCGGCCCCACCTCAACCACACTGCGGAACGTTAAACTAACTCGTGACATGATGTCAGATAACGTGACATGACGTCACACTATAGTGCGTGCAATCTACCTAATAGACGAAGAAAAAAAATTGTCATCAATCCTATTAGCCACTGATTTTTTTATTCCCTACTCTTTAGAGACGGCCATCGCAGCCGACAACGCTGCGGTAGATAAGTATAAATACCAATTTGATTCCGAGACATTTTCGATTTGTAATATCTTTGTCGTTTCCAGGGACGTTTGATTTCTACGGCGTGAACCACTACACAAGTCGCGTGGTCCGTCGAACGCGTCCGGGTGAAAAAATAGGCGCATGGCCGCTATGGGGGTCAACTGAGTTTGATGCTGTACTGGATTCCAGGCCCGAATGGACTGCTACTGCCATATCGTGGATGAAGGTATGTAAGTGTAATGCCGGTGCCAGATAGGAGTTTTAATAAGTTATCAAATAGGTGTTCACATGTGTGGCACGGGCATTTGATACAATTGTCACATATTTCATAACTTAAGTGCGCTTTGCCGTTCCGTGTGGTTTTTTTTTAGAGTATTCAACGATATTAAATACCCTAGATACATCAGGAGCGCCCAAAATGTGTCCCAATCAAGAAGTGCTTGAACTCTACTCAAGCACTTCTTAGTTCACAGTCACGCGCGGACCTTTACAAAGTCAAGATGCCACAAAGCTCCGTGAAAAAATGCGAAAATAATACTTAGAGTACGAAAAGTGTCGTTTTTTCGACAGGTATCTAATCAACGTTTGTTAATTTAACGCATTTGATTTCTAATTAATTCTAATATTTACTATAAACTGATTTAATATAAAATAATTGTGATATTCAAATATAATAGGCGTCTCTTTTCCTCGCGGTCAGTACTTGCTGTATTGCTAACAGCGCATTCAGAATTGCGCGTAGAGTCAAAAGAATAAGGTCTACATTCTTCCGCATATAGCAACAATTTGTAAAATTTTACGAGCTCGCATTTCGGACTGTCAGAAGTCTTTGACGCATGCGTTTTAATGAGGACCTTATACAGTATGCATTAAGGGTGACTTTCAATGTTTAAATAATGCCCTATATCGTTTTTGACCACGCGATCATCTTACGGAGCTCGGTTATCGTAAAATGTACCTTTAGGACACGTTTCGGCCACGATTTTGTTCGTGTTGGTGAATCTTTAGTATCTTTGAGAGCATTACAAAAGGATCAAAGTTTAAATGTTTCAATGTTTGTGTACCTGCCATATTGGGCGAAGTGCACAGTCGCGCGAATGTCGCTGTGGACTGTGGAGTCTCCATAGACTCCATGACGACACGACAGCTCTCCACATTGGAGAACTGTCGTGTCATGCATGATTTGCTTTGCCTGCACAAGTTGATACACTCAGCGATGGAATCGTCTGTCTAGTCTTCTTGCTAGGATTAACATTAGTACTCGTAGTAGTAGTAATATGTCGACTTTTCGATGATTTGGCATCTAAACATGAGATAGACATATTTGGAACTAACTTTCTATCTTTTAAAAACAAGATCTACATTTCCCGTCTCAGCTTTAATTAAGTAGGTATGTTTCGTCTGTATTGTTTTTACAATTAATGTTTCCCATCTATGTAGCATCATTTGAAAATGTATAGAGCATCCTTTTTGCTTTTGTGTGAGAATAATTTTTAATTGTTTTTATTCCAATATTACTTCTGCAAACATTGTACTCTAGACCAAATTTCTTTTTTTTTACCATCATACATGTAATGATGCAATCTGTTTCGTGTACCTAATAAATAAATAAACCCACATTCGTGTTTTATTACCTCTCATTATACAACAAATAATTAACTATTATTAAAGTTTTTTTTCTCATAGATATATTCAAAAGCGGTACCTATATTAAGGCTCAAACTACACTCTCTTCGGTAATCGGCCACTTTCCCCCCTCGGTGAACAATGTACTATTTAAATAAAACTAGTTTTAACGGGTTAATGCACGAACTTTATTTATTTATTGACGTTTCGCAACCTTTTCAGGTCCGCAACGTCAGAATAATGTTTTTTTTTTATTTACTTTGTCGAGCTACCTTCGAAAGACTTTTATTGAGCGTTCGGATATTTCATTGGAAGATTTTTAAAACTTTATTGTCTATGTATGAATTTATTAGTTAATTTAGTTAATAAAGTACTTTATTTAAATTTTTTTTTTGTAAATTTGAGTTTATTTATTTGACCCTAACTACCGTAAACTAATTTTATTTAATGAGTGATGTGCGTGAAAACCTAAGAAACAAATAATATACATTTTTTTTTAATTTAATGGTACCAATTCTGGCGTGATTCTCTAAACTTAAAACTAAATTTAACATCAGTCTCTCCTTTTCATTCTGTATAGAGAATGACAAGGATATACTGCTGTCAAATTTAAGTTTAGGTTTAGAGAATCATGCTAGAATCGACACCAATGTATTCCTAATGTTTTATTGTATAAATATTCTACCTTTTTCATACATGAGAAGAAGTGCATGATAGATCTGATAGCCATTTTTTACTGTTTGGGTTGGCATGCCACCAACCAAACTTTGATTTGAATTTAAGTAAAGAATTTGCTAATAAAATAATGATTGAAAACATGTCGCTTTCCAGTTGAATCCTAAAGGCTTCCGTGACTCGTTGGTTTGGCTGAAGAAGCAGTACGGAGACATCTCGTACATGGTGCTGGAGAACGGATACCCTGACTCCGGAGCCGGTCTCAACGAACAGGCCAAGAGGAACTTCTTCAAGGATTACTTGACCCAGGTAGATCTCGACAGCATGGTAGAAATAAATAAATATTTGTATACACTTACACCAATGAAGGTTTTCGGAAACGACGGGCACCAGGGGGCAGCACTGAGACAAAAGATCCTCACAGGTTTATACGTCAAATCGCGTATATCTTCATAGTCTATGGATCCATTTAAATTGTACTTGCACAAAGCCCTTCTTCAGCATAAGCAGAGGTAAAAACAACAGACACGCACACCGGATATTGGCTAAATCGCGAGGAAGCTATCACTGAAGAAATCTAATTTAATCTTATCAATTTAGACGATCGTTCGATTAGTCGTTCAAAAAACATCATATAAAAGTACTCACGTCACAGTGGCGCCAATTGGTGACGTAAATTTCATAAACACCATCTCATTATCCTGGCCCCGAAGTAAGCACCGCAATGTGTTTTGGGATACTATAATAGGTATATACATATAAATAATCCTACTAATTAATATTAACTAACTTCCTCTTGCGACTAGCGAATCTCTCAGGAAGCTTACACTATTCCGGGATAAAAGAAATATATTTTATCTTAAATAAAACTAGTTTTAACGGGTTAATGCACGAAACTTTATTTATTTATTGACGTTTCGCAGCCTTTTTAGGTCTGCTTCGTCAGAATGATTTTTTTTACGACAAAATTAAATAAAGCATTAACCCGTTAAAACTAATTTTATTTAATGAGTGATGTGCGTGTAAACCTAAGAAACAAATATTTTTTCTTAATCCAGGTAATAAATTACCTACCTACCTACTTTGTGTGCCAAACTTCATCTAAATCCGTTCAAGCGTTTTAGTGGGATTTACAAAAATGTTACTATGGCGTGGACGAAGTAGCGGGCAAAAGCTAGCTTTCGCAGAAGCTTTCATTAAAAGTGGCTGGTAATTGCTAACATTATAAAAGCCAAATGGTCCTCAGCTAGCAATAAAAACCATTATTGGTGTCGATTCTAGCATGATTCTCTAAACCTAAACTTAAATTTGACAGCAGTATATCCTTGTCATTCTCTATACAGAATGAAAAGGAGAGACTGATGTTAAATTTAGTTTTAAGTTTAGAGAATCACGCCAGAATTGGTACCATTAAGTACCTAAAATTATTAGGATAAAATGTTTGTTTTTATTGTTTCCAGTTGTATTTTGCGATACGAAGAGACAAAGTGAACGTGACAGGGTACGCCGCATGGTCTCTGATGGACAGTTTCGAGTGGACGCAAGGATATACGTAAGCATCTGCTTGATTGGTGGCTACCAGTGAAGGGGAACATGTTATATAACTCTACTGATTCTGAAATTAATCTCTTACCATCATCATCAGCCTATTAATGTCCCCATAGGGATGGAATATGTATATATGTATATATATTCTAGCTGACCCAGCGAACTTCGTACCGCCATAAAAAAATAGGGGTTGGTGGTAGAAAGTTGAAAATTTAGGGATGTATGTATTTTTGTATGATGTATCATAAAAAAATTAAAAAAAAATTTACTAAAATTGAAAAAAAAAAATTAGGGGTTGATTACCCTTAACATTTAGGGGGATGAAAAATAGATTACATCCGATTCTCAGACCTACTGAATATGCATTTAAATTTCACGAAAATCGGTCGAGCCGTTTTGGAGGAGTTTAACCACAAACACCGCGATACGAGAATTTTATATATAGCATGCTCGTAGCGTGAAGAGATGCGCAAGCATCCCACAGTCGTGTAACGCATTTCCGTTTCACTTAATAAAATTACAAATTTAGGGTATTATTCCAAAACTGCGCCCGTTATGAACCGAGACGAAATAGAGGAGCTTGATGATGCAGTAGCTACCACATTCGGTCTGCGGTCGTGGAAGTTAAGCAACTTTCACAATGGGATGGGTGACCAAAAATTTATTGTTACGAGCTTCGGAAAGCACGTTAAGCCGTTGGTACCGGTTGTGTCTGCAGACGTTCACACCCACTAATCCGCACTGGGCTCGCGTGGAGGGTGATGGCCCATTCTCCTTTATCTAACCATAGGGAAGGCCTGTGCCCTGGCAGTGGGGATATCAATACAGGCGATGATGAACAACTAACACTTATAACATTTTATAACACACAGCGTCAGATCTAGTTAAACACAACTCTCAAAATTCTCCAACTGACCTTGAGCTTTATGTTATTTCTTATAAAGTTCCAAAGCTATTGAGAAAATTTTATAGTTTGTACTTGTTTGTCAATAAAGTGATTTAACTGTTATAGTCCAGGAAATGAAGCTTAAAAAATTAAATTCTCTAAACTTAAGAAACTAAATTTGACAACAGTCTCTTTACAGAGTGACAAGGATACACTGACTGTTGTCAAATTTAAGTATAGGTTCAGAGAATCATGCCAGAATCGACACCAATATCCTGATTTATACCAACAGGAGCAAATTCGGCCTTTACCAAGTGGACTTTACCGACCCCCAACGTCCTCGCAAAGCCCGAAGTTCCGCCCTCTACTACGCGTCCATAATAGCTAACAACGGCCTAGGAACCGTCGACAACCACGGCTCATACACCATAGTATGGGTCACTATAGCGGTATTACTGACAACTCTCGTTCTATTCGCTATGTTGATCAAATACTGCAACGTGGTTAGGGGGAAAACTACGAGGCGATACGAGAGCGTAGGCTTGTCCGACATTTCACTGTTTCCGGCACGCTCATAATCAATATTGTTAGATTTTTTAAGGTTAAAATACATTAATTGTTAATTTACAACTTGTTTGATTTTTCTTCCTATATCCATCTTGTCGATTGATAGAAGAACGTAGAATGCAGTGAATGCGGATTCTCAAGAAGTAGCAAAAATAAACGGTTCTGAAATACTCTTTCCCTTTAGTTTGGGCGGGAAATTTCGGATGTGTATAAAAAGCTGTGTGAAGCTTAGCCAATTTTGTTTTATACTTTCATGGTTACTAGCATTATAGGACGACCTGTGTGGCCGAGTGGTTTGTACGCCGGGTTTCTTGGTTTTGCCGACTCGAGAGGTTCCGGGTTTGAATCCCGGTGGGGGCAGATGTTAGTGTGATGAACATGAGCATTTATACTGTATTCATGGATGTTTAATATGTATTTCCATATAAATATACTTATATATGTACATGTACAATATACTTGTATATGTATTCTAACCGTTACCCTAGCATCCCATAACACAAGCCTTATAGTGCTTACTTGGGGCTAGGCTAATTGGTGTGTGTTGGAAATATAAAAAAAAAACAATTTGTGTTAGAAAATCTCGTTCTTTGACTGCTCTACTCTACTTAGAGAGATGGAGAACGATCGCTACGTGCTAAAGCATTAGCCTGCCTGTCCCTGAAAATTTGTAGAATTTGTAGTTAATTTTTCAGCCACCAACCGCGCTGCCGTCGGTAAGTAGTATCTGTGCAGTTAGCTGTTTATGAGTACAAGTAGATGAAGTTAGTTGAATAATGTATAATGCGATTCAAATAAGAATAGGAAAACCAAAGACCTCCACCTGTCAAATGTCGCTTGAAAAGTACGGTTTGCAAAAAAAACTTGGAACCCTGTTTTAGAACTCAGCTAATTCTAGAATAAAAAGCAAACATATGTAAACAAACAATAACAAATATTGATAATTATATTGTTTGCTATTTTTTTCATTTATTGAGCTTTGGCTATTAATGGTTGATAACCTAAATTGCCAACCAAATGTCACTTTAAGTTACGTTCATAAACACGATTTAAAAGTTTCGTTTACATAAAAGATACATGTTCGTATGTGACCTAGTAATAGTGCATGACTATTCATAACTACTCCGCGGTAATGCAGAGATGAGCGGAATTGAAGATCTAGATTCTGATTAATAGCTTTACTCACACAGTCTTAATAAATAAATATTATTAAAAATCGGTTGTTTATTTTCCTCAATCTTAGTATATAAATTTTATTAAAAAAATTGATGTTTTTTCTCACTTAATCTTAGCAAATAAGTTTTATTAAATAAAACTTTTTTCTGCTCACTCTACCTGTTTGGTTTGAATTGACAGCTATGGCGTCACAATATGGCGCCCTGTCGGTCCTATTCTTAGTTGAATCCCATTATATAATTTTTCTTCGCGGTATTCGTCATTACAAAATAGCACACAACAGCCCACTTTTATTGAGACAACTTAGCGATCGCAGCGCCTCACTTATTTTACACTATTTTCTACAGCGATCGTTCTCCTTCTCTCTAATCTCCATGGAACTACGCATTAGGACTATCGACAACTAAAGCTTATAAAGCATAGTGTGGGTTACTAACACTCATCATCATCATCATAATCAGGCGATGGACGTCCACTGCTGGCCATAGGCCTCCTTTAGGGATCTCCAAACAACGATCCTGAGATTTCCGCATCCAGTGGGTCCCCCCGACTCGCTTGATTTCGGCAGTCCATCTGGTAAGGGGTCTACCGACACAGCGTTTCGTCATTTAAGCACCTTAGGACCCCAACGTCCATCGGTTCGCCGAACAATGTGCCCTGCCCCAGGCGCGGTCCGAAGTTGGGGGGGGGGGGGGCACAGGGGACATGACCCCCCCCCCCCCCCAATTTAATGGCAAATTGAAAATCTCAAAAAAATGCCAAGTAATAGCAATAGTAATATCCCCTAACAGCGATTTTATAGTTTGCTTGACATCTAGTGGTGTTTTTACGAACTACGTATGATGGCCAAAATGACATCTAGTACTAGTTTAGAAACAAGGAACCGAACTACGTAGTTTTGGTAATTGTAGCAAAATCGACATGCGTCGTTCGTCGCAATAATGTTTATTTTATTCGAGATACCTCTTTTTCTTTTTTTTATTAGTGTAGTGAGTGATTCCTCCAAAATTTCAGATTGCGACCGCGCCTGCCCTGCACATTGCCACTTCAGCATGGCGATCCGTTTAGCTATGTCGGTTACTAGAGTTCTTCTACGGATATCCTCATTTCTGATTCGATCACTTAAAGATAGACACTATAGCATCATTACTGATAACTGTAGTTCTATGCGCTAAATGAAAGAAATTAATTGGTTTTTACATCCTATATCCATGGCTCCCGAATGATAAAAAATGTAGAATGCAGTAATGTGGATTCTCACGAGATGGCAAAACAATATCAGAGCACTTCTGAAATACCGTTTAGCTTAGCTGGGGGAGGTTTTCGATACCAGTGGAGCTTTGGTCATATCTTGCTAACTGACCAAGACACAATGAAAAGGTAGAGTTCACTGCAGTCTTCTATTAATATTTTTTTTTAAACTCACCAATTAGCCTAGCCCCAAAGTAAGCACTTTAAGGCTTGTGTTATGGGATACTAGGGTAACGGATAGAATACATATATATTTATATAGAAATACATATTAAACATTCATGACTGGAGTACAAATGCTCGTATTCATCACACAAACACATCCACCCACTGGGATTTGAACCCGGGACCTCTCGAGTACGCTACACCATGAAACCCGGTGTATAAACCACTCGGCCACGGAGGTCGTCTCCGTTTGTGGTTTATACGCCACGAGTAAAAGAAATGTTCGAGTTTTACACATTTATATCTTCTTACCATACATGGATCATCTTGGAATGGAATGGCTTTCATCAGTTTTGGTTCTCCAATCAAAGATATTATTATGTTCATTAATTTGTTTATTTACATTAGGTATAAAATATTAAATAAATACTTTATAAATATTCTGTAACAATAACTGTTATTTACAATGCATACTAAACTAATTATTTTACTTAATTATATCAAAATTATAACAGTCATTCAATAAACCTCGCAATGAAAGATACCTAAATATGTAGTATATTAATATTTTTATTACCATTGATAGCATCATACAAAAGGTTTAAATCACAAAACAGTACAGTTTAATTGAGTGGTGTTAAGGTGCGATCCGACGGCGAGTGTTGACGCGGGCCCGCCCGGCCGCCCCGCGCAGGTTTGTTTGTTGCGCAAACGTATGAGAACTCCAACGTTTGTGATTTAGTAGTGTCCATATATGATACGAGGTAAATAGAAATCCCGTACTACGTATGTACGCTTGGCAACACAGCGCGGCGCGGCCACGCCCTTGACAACGCACGCCGTCGGATCGCACCTTTAAACTGAAAGTGAGAGTGGGTATTTGTGAAGCTAGAAAAAAATTGTTCTATCTACCAAAGTTAAAGTATGATTGTGAAATCAGAAGGAGACCATTGGTCATAATTGGGATCTTCAGTTATGTTTTCTGATTGCTTCAAAAATGCCCACTGGTTGCTTTGCACTTAACAATGTCAAATTATTTTTTATATAAAAGGTTTCATTCATAAGGCTATAATTTGGATATTAATAATATAAAGTTATACAGTTAGAAGCATAGCGTATGAATTTGAAAAGTTAATAATTCTGAAGTCTTTTACTCTATCTGCAAAATCATGCATCATTATTAAAATACATTTAACATGAAAATAATTCATTGAGTCGTGCATATTCGAAACATTATTTTAAATCAGTACCTGTTAAAATTGTTTCAATGTAATAATAGTTATACACTTCCATGCATGTTTGTTCCAACTCAGTTAATCAAGCACTTTTATTGCTTATATTCATATTCCAAATATATATAATAAGTTTTACACATTTAAAAAAGTAATAATTTTGTACCAAGCTAGCCTCACTAAACTAGAGATCTGCGATTCATAAAGTATGTACAGTTCGGAGAATGCTAATTTTCATAAGTCCACTTTGGCACCTATGTTGCTTAGAGGTATCGCTTGCAACTCAGTACGAAGGCACAGGAACTCTCCTGCTACACAGGTAATGGATGCACATGACACATTCAGAACCCACCACGAGAATGTGGTGGGAAAGGATGAGTTATATATCCAGCAGATGAGTAAGTGGATTCCATAGAAGGTGCAACTGCAACAGAAAAATAAAATTAATAATAGTCATATCAATGCAAGTTGTAAAACAAGTTTAAACAGGTTAGATGCAATGGTTTTATATATTTTTAATGACATTTCACATCCTTTGCAGGAATGCATCGTCGGAATAATTATTTATTACAAAATGTTAATAAATAAATAAAATCTTATTCCGACAACGCATTCCTGCAAAGGATAGGAAACATCAATAAATAAATAAAATCAGATCATCTAAACCATTGAAACTGGTTTATTTAATGAGTGATGTGCTGCAAACCTAAGAATCAAACAATATAAGTAATGTTAAAAAAAAACAGATTTTTATAAATTTTTAAAAAAAAATATTGATTATCATACCTGAATTTTATAATGTCAAGTGAAAAAAAATTAGATTATCATACCTAAAGTCTAAGCACAACTTAGTCCGGCCAACAATAGTCCACAATGCAAAAGCTGCTAAGATCGCATTCAGTACAAATGCAAATATCACAGAACGCCCTTCACTATCTCGTACATGGATCTCCTGAAAAATATAGATAAATGGAATTTATATGATCCACATAATTGTAAAAATTTGGTTAAGGTATATGGCAGCTGCAAATTTTCATGACAGCTTAGTGAAATACTTTGAGAATTCGATCTTTGCTCGACAGAAGACTAGTGTAAAAACACTATCAAATGGTGGTTTAGTGTTTCTGTGTGTGGTGTAGTGTGTGGATGGGATCAGGGTAAACAATTTCTGAGTGAAACGCTAGTATTAAAAGGTATTATAATTGGCTATGGAAGGCCAAGCTTTTAAGGCCACCCTTTTTTAACAATAATAAAGATAACTTTTTTTTAACAATAGATAAGAAACATGTCAAAGAACTGGGTACTTCCAGGGAGACTATTATAGAGCTGACAATCTACTGTGTCAATATTAAAAAACCAAGATATCTGGTATTATGTTGTTATTAAAGGAGAGTTATTTCTGTTCATCTATCTGTCTTCACTGGGATATTTTATACAACATGAGGCTGCTATGCATTGTATACTTACATGGTACTCAAATATGTGATCCAAAGTCCTTGTAGATCCCGTTAAATCTTGCATTAGAGCCATTATAATGCATAAAGATAAATATAAGAGAGACTGCATTGCCACTATTTGAGAAACAATTAAACAGGGGTCCCATTGCGTATAGCGGAATGAGCCAGTCAGTTTCTTTATTTTCGACATTTTCATGTAAAAGTTAATGGATGTCTAGATTATTAACATTTATTTATGTTGTAACAAACACCTGAGATACGCATCAATAAGCTTGACACCAGTCCTTTTACGATCTAAGTAGGAAGAAGATTACACAGATGTTTTGAATTATTCTTGTTATTTTGAATTATCAACATATGGGCAAATTTATGGAGACAATGAACGGTAATTGAGTTTTACTTTAAATAAATTACACATTACACAAATAACACAAGACAGCGAAACGTCATTTCGCACGCGATTGTCACTAGGGATTAGGGATGTGAAAAAAATCGATTATGAAACAATCGATTATTTTAAATTAAAAATCGAATTTAATAGGTGATTTTATTTTTAGGAATAATATTTTTCAAATAATTTTTAAAGCAATTATTACTGATTTTTCATCTGTAACTCCCCGACTTTGTTTGGTTTCCTGGCCTGGAGTCCGGAATGCGAAGTACCAATCAATAGACTTGTTCTAATCTAAACTTCTTAAATCTCAAAACGTTTAATAAGTTGAACTTTAAGAAAAATAACGGTGCCTTAAAAGCTTTAAAGTTTTTCTAAGCATATTTGCTTAATGTGACGTTTCGTTACAAGAAATAGCTTTGCTCTACGTCATTAAGTGTTAAGAACTTATAAGCCATCGTTTACTAAAAACAAAAATCAACAAACAATCAGCAAATATTTTTCGCGAAAGAAGGATTCTAATTTTCGCTGCGTTGCGTTAACTGAGAGAACTAACTAAATAAGTAGAACGTAAATTCATTCAACTTATTCATTCGTTTTGTTGTGTTATGTTAAATGCTTGATTTATCAGTGACGAACGAATTAAGCCTATACGTAACTGAAATTCAGAGCTAAAATTCAAAATTCGACTTTTAATTTCGACAATTTATTAATCAATCAATCGATTTATTATTGATAAACAGAGTGACCAAAAAGTCTTAACCCCCCCCCGTATTAATAAAATGAGAATAAGGTTGGACTACTTACTCTATGTTTTGTCTCTTTTCATTGAATGACAAATGGCATTTGAGTGATATGAACAAAATACGGCGGCAAACTTATTCCTCGTTTTAGGGGGTTATAGAATATAAACCAAGTTAGTATATGCTCTAAGCCAAAAAGTCGTGGATCAAACGAAATAGGGAAATAAAGGAGGTATACTTACATAGAGGATATTTATAAAATTCAGTATAAAATTCTAAAGATAATTGTACCCAAATATATAAAAGTTAAATATAAAGGTAACGCACAAGAATTGTTTCGATATTGTAATATGATGAATGTTTATGACAAGGTAAAATACGTAATTCTAACCGAATGTAACGAGACTAAGTACTTGAATATTAATAAGAGACCAGATAATTTGTGAAATGTGTTGGATCGTAGAAAGTTTTTGTTGCCGAAATGTAGTAATGTCCACGGAAATAGAAAGCTATGTTATTTAATACCTTCCTATCTTAATGAATTGCCTAGTAATCTAAAGGAAATGTACTCGAACATTGTAATCAATAATAATAAATATAAATTTAAAAGACATTACTTAAAAAATAGTCAACTTGAAAGTTTATAAAGTGGTAAATGAGTGGCTCCCATACACATATAAACCTTAACAGGTTTTCGTGTATGGTTTTTTTTAATTGTATGTGTATGATTGTATTTGATAATAAAATAAATAAATTTCTAACAAAAAAGTCTTTCTCCAGCATGGCCATAACTTCTTTGCACGAATTGTTATGAAACTACTGAGTTTTTTTACAATTTAATCAATAAAAAATAAATTGATTAAAAACAACCAAACAAAAGGTATTGTATTATGACTGGAATATGTATCAATATAATGCGATTCAACTAAGAATAGGATCGACTGGGCGCCATTTTGTGATTGAAACAAAATAGGTCCAGTGAGCAATAAAAGATTTTCTTCGATAAAACTTATTTACTAAGTAAAGCTAGTTTTTACGGGTTAATGCACGAAAACTTTATTTATTTATTGACGTTTCGTAGCCTTTACAGGCTACGTCAAACTCTTTGTTTCAGAGAGCACGGGGTGTCTGTGACAAACAACACCTGGCATCTGAACTTCAGCATGTCGAGCGAGTACTGAAGGATAATAACCTGAATGTACCACGTCGCCGTCACAGTCGCGCCAAACCCAGCACAGTCGACCGACAACCTGCTATACTACCTTACATGAAAGGAGTCACTGACAAGATTGGGAGGATTCTGAAGCGTGCTTCAATCAATACTTACTTCAAGCCGCCAAAGAAGATCAACCAGTTTCTACGACCAGTCAAGTGCAATATACCCTTTCAAGTTGCTGGTGTCTACAAACTTGAATGCGACTGTGGGCTCTCCTACATCGGGCAAACAAAGAGGAGTATAGGGACTCGGGTAAAAGAACATATCGCAGATATGAAACATAGGCGCGAAAATAAGTCTGCAGTGTGTGAACATGCATTAGGGGGACCAAATCATTACATTAGATTTGATAAACCACAGATCCTTGCAACTGAGCAACGTTTCGTTCCTAGAATGATACGCGAGGCTATTGAGATTAAAAAATATACAAATTTCAATAGGGAAGATGGTTGGTATATACCACCAGCTTGGGAACCCATTATACAGGAGATAAAATCCCAACCCCGAGCACACACTGCAAGACCAACAGATACTATTAGTTCTTTTTGTGTGCATAATTTAACATAAGAAAGAGACAGAAAGCCTCTCTTGAGTTTGTTTCGCCGGTTCTTCTCAGGAAGGTCTCCCAATTTTGGAACCGGTGGTAGTTTACTGTAGTTAGGGTCAAATAAATAAACTTAAAATTACAAAAAGAATTTTAAATAAAGTACTTTATTAACTAAATTAAGTAATAAATTCATACATAGACAATAAAAATTTTAAAAATCGAACAATGAAATAACCGAACGCTCAATAAAAAGTCTTTCGAAGGTAGCTCGACAAAATTAAATAAAATTTGATTCTGAAGACGTAGCCTGTAAAGGCTACGAAACGTCAATAAATAAATAAAGTTATGATTTTATTTATTTTTTAAGCATTTAACTGCTAGATGTTTAAATCTAAAGAAAAGTTTACTAGAAAAATATCCACGCGGACCAGGCAGCGGACGGGACTCGAACCCGCATCCTTCGCTATCCGGGCGAATGCACTGACCATTATGCTACCACGGCCCTATTAGCCGCGTCGAAATTTTCCAAGCCTTAAGCTGCAAGGCAGCGCCATCTCTTCGCATTGTAGGTAACCCACAATGTCAAATGAATACTTTTTCAAGTATTAAACATTTGAAAGAAGAAATAGCAATTATAGTTATGATTTTATTTATTTTTTAAGCATTTAACTGCTAGATGTTTAAATCTAAAGAAAAGTTTACTAGAAAAATATCCACGCGGACCAGGCAGCGGACGGGACTCGAACCCGCATCCTTCGTTATCCGGGCGAATGCACTGACCATTATGCTACCACGGCCCTATTAGCCGCGTCGAAATTTTCCTAGCCTTAAGCTGCAAGGCAGCGCCATCTCTTCGCATTGTAGGTAACCCACAATGTCAAATGAAAAGTTTGTGTCGCCGCACACGGACCACCGCACCGACCACTACCACAAAACGCCGCCACCGGCATATTTCTTGTAGCTTGTAGTTTTAATATATTTTATATGGACTCGCCACACGCTAGAAATCGTCGTTGTTCGCTTCTTGTGTCCCCCACCGGCCACTTAATGCGCCGATACAAAACGCCGCCACACGTCACTCGCGCGATTCCCCACCCCTCTCTCCCTTACCTTAGTCACGGTAATAATATCATATAATATTACCGTGCCTTAGTCGGCCGCTGTCGCGCGCTTCAGCCACTTTAGTAGCCGCTTCTAGCTTCTCGTGGCGGCGTTTGTGGCTGTCGCGTGTGGCCCGTGTGCGGCGACACTTTGTTGATAGCAGTAGCGGCATGTCACGCATGTTGCGATTTCCGTCCAGAATTCCTGTTCGGCGCCGGGACTTCGGCGTATCAAGTCGAAGGAGAGTGGAATGCCAGCGGAGTAATCATCATCTGTACGACGGCCACAACTGAGTACACGGCGTAGTCCTAATTGGCAACGATTGTGCGATGACGCGATACAATCTCATCGTGCGGTGAAAGTAATGTACCCGTGCCCGTGGATGGCTTACGAGCTGTATTGGATTGGGACACTTCTGACGGACTAAGTGCGGATTGGCGGGTGCGAACGACTGCAGATATAGCCGGGACCAACGGCTTAACGTGCCTTCCGAAGCACGGAGGAACACGGAATAAAAGGTTTTGGTCATCCATACAATGACAGACCATTGTGAAAGTTGCTTAACTTCAACGATCGCAACCGAATGCGTTAGCCACCTGCGCCATCGAGCTCCTCAAGGCAGAGCATAGGTAGGTAATATGGGGTCATTCATAAATTACGTCACACGAATTTCATGTCTTTTTTGCCCCTCCCCCCGTCCTTGTCACAGCTGGTCACATTTGTAAGACTCCCCCCCTCCCTAGTGTGACGTCACATATTTTGCAAATTTACATTTAGAAATCATTGAATGAAAACAGCGGTTCTGTAATCAGTTTTATTTCCATTTAAATTGTTTTTTCATTATTATTATAATCAAATCAAACAATTAACAAAACAAAAAAATTACCGAACAAAAAGTGATTGACTATGTTAATTAAAGAAATTAACAAAACATAAAATATTAATAGCATTATAATTAAATTAAAGATACAAACTTAATAATCTTGAGTCCATGGACATTGATCCCACTCCTTTAAATTATTTATAACTGGCATAGCACCACTTTGTTCTCGTTTGGGTTGTTAATGCTTTCGTAAAGTAATAGTTTCAACACTTAGATTTTAATATATTTTGAAATGTGACGTCACGAAATTTAGGACCCCTCCCACCCCTTGTCACACGATGTCACATTTCGTCGACCCCCTCCCTACCCCTTAAAGTGTGACGTAATTTATGGATGGCCCCTATTGGCAGAATTTGTGATGTGAATATAATAATGTGAATGATTCATGAAAGGTCGTTGCATTCTGTCATAGTCACTCTGACTATCTAAGGAGTATTTTGGGCTAGGAGCTTCAGTGGTCCGTATTTTTACAGAACGAGATCGGTGCTGCCTTCATTGTGAATTGCTTATCATCACTGGATCATAATTTGGATTTTTTTGTCCGCAATTGAAAGAAATCGATCTG